ACAAAAAAAAAAGAGGACTTCCGTTAATTTTTTAAATTTCTGTTTAAGGTGATGATCATTTAGTTTGGTTAATCAGTCACTAGTTAGTGGTTTTGCAATTGATCTTTGTAATAATTACTTTCTTGATTTTTTCTTCTTATGAGAGTAGTTTTTTATTTCTTTTGGAGTTCATGCTGCATTTTGAAATGTTTGGGGAAATGTAGAAATTCATGATTTTTTTGTTGTTGTTAAGTTCATTTAATTATTAGCATTTTGTAGTTCATATATATCTTTTTATGTTTAATTTCCATATTGCAATTTACAGAAAGGCCTAATTAAGAGTGATGGATCACCAAAAGGGAAGAAATTTGTGTCATGATCAAGGGAACTATTCTAATTAACCACTTTAATAGTGGTTTTATTTTTCTTTGATTCTGTTATATTTTTTATTTTATTTTATTGGCCCAATTTTGTTGTTGCAGTGTGTCTGATAACTTGCCTAACAATCATATAGATTCATCCCTTACTGCTGAAGAAAGGGGAGATTTTGTAGGTGTCCTTTTGTTGAGTTTTGTCCCTTCAAAGTTTTTCTTACATTTTCTTTTCAACATATTGTTTACTGGCATATATTGTCCTATACAATCTCATCAAACTAAATTTATTCAGACATCTTTTACTGATAGTTTTTGTACGGCCTGCATTTATATATGTAGAGTATTTTTTTCACAAATTTTAGTATGACATGGATTAATTGTTAGGAGGTGGACTCATAGTGCATTTTTTTTTTTTTTTAAATATATACATATGTTTTGAAATGCCTTATTTTTTCTTATGTAATTACTTTGGTAGAGGCATTTCATTTTGAAAATATACTATTAGAATGGAAAAAGAGGGTGCGATCCCACCAGATGAAGCACACCATAAGATGGGTGAGCCTATGTGCACCTTAATGAGGTTTCATTCCAAAACTAATTGGTAATAACAAGAGTAGTCCCACTAGGCTTATAAATTAGGCTCATTTACCCTGTAGAATTAATGTGAGACAACTCACAAGTGATATTCCAATATATACATATCTTTAAAAACACAAATTTTTGTATAAGACGGTTTAAACATTGCGTGGGTCGACATGTTATAGATTTTTTATATAAATATCGTATACTATGTGTTAAAATATCACTTGTGAGTGGTCCCACATCGTTCATACATGGAAAATAGACCCACCTTATAAATTTAATGAATTACTCCTCCTTACACCAATTAGTTTTGGGATGGAACTTCACTTGGACTTCAGATGAACTTTTCTCGTTCATGGTGCGCTTCATGATAGTGGGTTCGCACCCATTTTTCCCCCAATTTCAGTCACTATAAAATATCATACTTTTTATTTATATGTTTATTTTACATATGGCATATCAATTTGGACATATACGTATATATTTAATGCAAAAGTATAATTATCTAATTATTAAATTCGTATAGCAGCAGTCTTACTTATTTTAAAAATTATGTCAACCTAATCGCTACACCTACTTAGCACGAGGTCTTCCTAACACGAGCCTTAAAGTACAATTTTTGACATGAAATTATCCAATTTCAAATTCATTTGTGTAGAGTCGTAATATAGTACTCAACATCTGCAAATTTCTTCTCTTTCTTTGTTTTTTTTTTCCTTTTTCTGTCACTGAGATGTAATGTACAGCTANACAGAGAAAAAAAAAAAAAAGGAAAAAAAACAAAGCTTCAGTTTCAAGATTTTCTGTGCATGCAAATGGGGTTAATGTGACACACAGGTATGGGCCTAAAATTCTGCCTCGATTTCTTGTCTTTTGACTGTAATTTAAAAAAAAAAATTATTTTATTATAATATTGTGACTGAATTATGAATATTGGATGGATATGTACTTGGTTACACGTGCAATTCTCTGAACTAAATTTGGTTGCTTTTAGATTACATCTTCACATAAAGTTTTTATTTTATTTTTTTTAAAGCAAAGAAAGAAAGATGGAGAATTAAGGTGGGATCCCTACCTGTATATAGTCAAAATAATTTTAAAGGGTTAATGAAAAGTTCTACACGAGAATTGCTTTTTTAATTGATAATAACATCTATCGTACTGTAGTTAGTTTTAATTGATTTTTTTTTTTTAGATTTATTGCTTAACATTTTTGCATATGCATGAATTATGTGTATCCTTGTTAGTAATGCATATAGTTTGTAAGGATATGTGATTATGTAAACAGTATAAGTGTTGTTATAATTAGGTTGACTAGTCATTGATCCTTACAAAATATATACTAATTATATTATATCATACTTTTCTTATACTTTATTTTAGAATGTGAATTTAGGGGAATGTTACAGTTACCTGGGGAATGGTTCACTCAAATCAATACAAGCCATTAGAACTTCTAGTTTTAATATAGATCTTTAGATGTAGTCAAACAAAGATGATATGACAAGTTTCTTATTGGAGTTTAATTTAGGGTAATGGTGGAATGTAGCATTTTCCTGAAATTTAAATATGATATATGTGTTTTCTATGTATTCTTATTGTAAATAAAATAATAATAACTTCAATGTAGCATCTCATTTGATTGCATAGTCAATTGTTGAAGTTTGAACGTTAAAAAATAAAAAATAAAAAAAAGTCAACATTTCATTAATTTAGAAAACATAAAATTATAATTTAATACAGGCCTAATGATTAAGCAATCATACTTTTTTCTATATGTATATGCACAAGTGACATACTTAAAAAACAAAACAAACAAAAGTATTACTTTGCTCAATATATATATGAATATTTTTTAAAAGAATATATATGATAAGTCAACTTGTCTAACTATTAGTCTGGATCAAGAATATATGATTTTTTTATCAAGTATAAAAGAAACATAATATGACATATAAAACGGAACGGACGAGAGAGAGAGAGAGAGAATCAATCACAGTATATATATAGGAATTATCCGACATGTAAGTATGTAACCAAGTTGTGTGTAAGAAAGGACCTACAGGCTGAGATGAGCAATACATTTTACTTTTATGTCTATCAGGTTCATTGCATTAGGACTATTTGCTTTATTAGATGTATCTAATTAATATGTGCTGTTGCCTTTCTTTTCCTCTTATCCTTATTTTCTTTCCCAGGTATATACAAATAAATTCTTATATATCTTTTCCTCTTTNTTCCAGCAATTGTGCCTTTTTTAAAACTGTTGTGTTTCATTTGATCAGTTTGATGAATCTCCTTTTCAACCATGGCTTCTTTTGATTTCATGATTAGCTGCTATATACATTATCAGCTATAGTTTAATTAAGTTTGAATTGTGTAAGACATTATTATTCATGTGTGCAAATTGGATAATGGAATGAAATAGGAATTTTTTTCATTCCACAAAATAATGTGTTTCCGTTGCATGATTTGACATGAATAATACGGTATCTGTAATCCATGTTAGTAGAAGATTCTTGAACTCATTCATGCAGAAAACTTGCAACGAAGGATATTGCCTGCATATGAATGTAGTCATTTCATCTTCTGTTAATTGCTTTCTATTGTGATTAGTCATTTATTGAATCCAAACTTATTTTTTAACCTCTTGTGCACATTACAGACTAACAATTATATTTAGCTAATAATATAAACAAATTTTGTTGTGAAGTTAATATTGCCTGTGCAAAAGTTGGATCATGTGCAACAGCATCCTATATGATTTGACATTTAATATTAGTTTATGCACTTTCACTGAATAATCTGAGTCCAAAGTTGAATTTGTTGTGCTAATTAGATTCCCTGTTATACTAGGTTTTTTTTTTGTGTTCTTTATCGATTTCCCCATATCTTGATGTACCATTGTCAATGTTGAGTTCAACAATTAATAGTATATATATTATGGAATTATATCCGACGTCTTTTTTCTATGTATCGTGTAATTATATCTATTGAGAAAATACATAATGAAAAAAACCACCAGTCAAACACCATGACCAAAGAGAAAAAAAAAAAGTACAGAAAAAATAATCGAAACAAATGAGGATTTGATTTAATTAAAATTGAAATTGGATTTGATGTCGTCTTTATAGTTTCTAGAAGCCAGCAGTAAAAGAAGCCTGCATGCGATGGCATAATATGATACTCAAGAAATTGCAGCAAAGGAAAAATGCTTTAAGTTATTAGTTCATCACACACACACGTACAAGACTTCCATTACTCAACTTGATTCTTTATATACAACTGAACAATTACAAAACTGTAGCTGAAAAAAACTTCATATAGGGGCATTGGGCACCAAAACAATAATTGGATAAAAACGAAGTCCACAAAAATAGTTATTACAAACAGAGCCCACAACTCACCTGCAACAGGATATATAGATATACGCATTGTTCTGTCGTGCCACGCGTGAGTCGTGATCAGAGAGTTGGTAGAAAGTTGATACTATGGCATTCATAAAGAATTTTTCCCCGCACGGAATATATAAGTTCGCCGTTAAATCTCTATTCTTAATCGGAGCATTTCGAATTGGAATGTGGAGCTTGAGGTCAAAGTTCGACGAGCTAGAGCCCTTATGTCCTCTCTGGAGCAGTCGCGTGATATACGAACTAGCTCCCATAGGGCACCTCCATTTATCATATCTATTGCATTGACCTCTGTGAGATTTTTCGAGAGAGAGAGAATAAAATTGGTGCTTCGAGCAATGTAGAATACTGGAATAAGTATATATAACTATTGTAGTGATTCGTGAAGCCAAAATTAGATGGTTCTGGGTATGTTTCGCAATTATGTTATGCGTAAAGGTTAGAATTTTGAAAATTATCCCGATTTCTATCAATTTGTTACCATGTTGTGCCAGGTGGCAGAGTGCAAGCTCGACGTGACGTCTGATTAGTGAAGCTTCATTGTTGGCATTTTGTACTATCCATGGCAAGGCGCCATCTTCTATCAGCAGAGATCGGCCTTCTCTTATTCCTGCCATTTAACGGTATCATTAGTAGAAAGAATGCCGGTAAATGCTCAAAATACAAAACCGATATGCTAATAAATGCTCACGCAGGTTTAGCAGGTAATGTTTTATTATATGACTCTTACCTTGACTGGATGCTCTAGACTCGCACTTTGCGAAATTTGCGATACCACGGGCAACTTGAGAGATAACATCTGGATGCCTACATCTCACCATTCCTAACAAAGCTTTAATGCCACCTTCTGACCTGAGCCTTGCTTGTAATTTATCTGGAAAGTCATGGGGTCACCGAATCAAATATACGGCAAAACTGCTCCAAAGTCTTTTAAGAAAGGAAGTTAGTGGAGATAGTAGGATTTTAATAAAATCCTCAAAATTGATTTGGATTTCGAATAAATCTGATTGAAATGACACATCGAATGAGAAAAATTTGTACCGTTGCCGCATAAATTAGCAATTGCTCCAGCAACCATTCTAAGAGTCTGAGGATCTTCAGCATCGGTAGCTGTAGTTGCCAAAAGACATATTCCTCCCTGGGCCATTATGAGCTCCTGATTGGCCTCTGTATAAAGGCATATAACATAACAAGAAGCAGTTTCATAGCAAGATTGAGAAAAGAAAATGAACTACTACAATGAATAAGATGTTACCATTCATAGCAAGATTGGCAATTGCACCAGCTGCAATCCTGCGTATTGTTTCGTCCTCATACGTTCTAAGGAGCATCAGCAATGAAGATAGACCACCAGCCTCGACTATCTTTTCCTGGTTCGCCTCTAAGTATACATAACAAGCATCTAAGTTACTTAAATGGTTGAAAACAGCATTGACTAGAATATTTCATTTAGAAGAACCAAGATGAATCAGAAGTTGGCAACAATTTTTTCTGCATTTTAATGGATATAACTGTTCAGCATATTTTTCCGACGATATAATGACAATGCAGAAGAGAAGGGTGATTATTCCAATATGGTTGAACTTCTGAGTGAGGGAATTAAGAGAAAACAAAGAATCTCATAGAGAAAGATTATATTCGAGGGTCCAGATTTTGTATGAAGGCTAACAAATGGAAGTTTATTTATCCTCACATGAAATAACATAAGAGAGAGAAAAGTAAGCACCTTCTGCAGCTAAGTTAGCAACCACCTTGACAGCATGAATCCGTACATTAGCATCCTCTGACTCGAGCAATGATAATATCTTTTGCAATCCGACTGTGACATGAATAGATAGATAAACATAATACCTTGATGAAAATATTAGATGGTACTTCAGTAAACACAAATCAACACCTTGTTCATGGAGATTTGTAATAGATGCTTTTTCTCCATTGTTACCATCTCTAGACCGCAGATGATTAAGTGGGGTTAAGCAATCTATACCAAGAAGTGGGTTCCCAAAGTTGCCTCTTCCTTGCTTGCTTTTAGTCTATGAACATAATGTCAACAAAAACAAAAGTAAATATCAAATTTCATGTTTTATGCATGACCAATCTGAGCATCTGACAACGAATTTATTGTACTAGATTTTAAATTTTGCCAGATTCTGCAAACCTATAGCCAAGAACTCAAGTGTATCACCACCACCTTTAGAACAATCAGAACTAACAGAAGTTCTCAAAATTGCATGTACCTATTGAATGTATTAACTTCAGCCAGAAGACACAATGATCACTTGTTGTCATAGTATTAACCAGATTTAGACAAGTGCTTAAAATTACGAAAACATACTTGATTGGCTTCCATAGAAAGCTGTGCCACTTGACTTCGCAAAATTCTAACTTCTTCTTCAAGTTTCTTTTTCTGGCGACTCTCCTCTTCCAGCACTTCATGAAGGCCACCGAAGTCATTAGAGTTTCCACCTGCCAACTATACATACCATTTAGTCACACATAATCTATTAATCCATCAAATATAAATCACGTTTTCACCATTCATGCAGTCAAAATCCAAATTATGAGTAACACCATACCTCGATCTTTGACAATTGCAGTTGATTTTTTAAGTTCTGAATTTCTTCTTCGGCTGCCTTTCGTAGACAAACTTCATTTTGAAGCAATGTTTTGAGCTCAGCAACCTCTTCATTACCAGCATCCTTGCAGACCTGCCGAAGACAAAATTAATAACCTTGAATGAAGTTGAAATAGTAAGAAACAAGTATCTCTAGAGAGTGACACCATCCTATAGAAGGATAAAATTTCCTATGCTGCCTACCTCTCCATTACTGACAAGCTTTTGCTGGTTCAGGGTCCACTTCTCCTCAAGCTTCTTAATTGATTCCACATAATCCATCTGGCATTTCGTTTTCTCCTCCTAATTCAAAAGGCAGACAAAGTCAATTTTAGCGTTCAAGTAAAATGATGCATAAAGCAAGTATTTCTCCACCAGCATGAAGGTACACCCAGATTCAGAGGCATCTTCATGTAGTAGATATACCTCCAAGACTTCTACATAAGTTCTTTCAGCCTCAGCAATGCGCTTCTGTGCCTCTAATCTTATTCTCTCAATCTCATTTTCATAAACTTTCTGCTGTCTTTCATTATCAGCAATTAGTTTGTCAATTTCTATCTCAAGCCTTTTGGACAAACTCCTGTAATCAAATTCTTCTTTAATCTTCAGCATGTTCTCCACCTTCATAGCCTATGGAGAAATCAGACGCAGTTAGAAACATGAAAAGTTAATTTGTCCAGTAAGGAAAACCTGTTCCCACAAATAAAATTACTCATTACTCCGTCCCACAAATATAACTTCTCACTCTTAACAACTCACCCTTTGACCAAACAATATCGTGCTTGCTGTTTCTGCTCGATGGCGTGGAGATGGACCTATTGTGACAACTAGTGAAGTTCTGGATGTCCCTGCAGCATTCCCAGGTACATAAGTTAAAACAAAATCAAGTTCTGAACAATCATACTTTTCCTTACTGTACTAAAACAAACACAAGATCTCACCTCCAAATGAATCTTTAAGCAACCTCGTGAGCTTTGAATCTCGAACAGGGACATGAGAACTATTTTCTGCCAAGGCATTTATACACTTTCCTAAAGCACTAAGAGAAAGGTTTATGGACTTCGCTTCTTCTAACACGTGTCCCTCGCTTCCTTCAAGCAACAATTAGCAGAATCTCAGATTATTATTGTTGACCGTAAATGAGTTAAAAAATGTCAATCATAAATCTTAATCTGTTTAACATCAAAACAAAAAACAGCATAAAAAACAGATGCAAATACAGTCTCCCCAAAACTCTTTTTCCAGATTCAGACTAAATGTTTTCATCGCAAGTCTGAGAAGTCCAGCGTTAGTTAGCTACACTAATGGACATAATCAATGTACTCAGAAATACTAGGAGTTACAGGTCGATGCTGAACCTTCATAGTTTCTTTTACATAGTTGAACAAGAACCAAAGCCAAATCAAAATAAATGTGCCAGCCAGGTCTGTCCGGAAGAAGATCCTACAGTACTATTCAGATAAAAAATTAGGCAAGGAACATCTAGATTTAACAACATCGACTAGCTCATCTGAAAAGTCATGTCCTACAGGATGGCATTCGCAATTTTTGATTGTGTCACATATCCTGCTCATTGCTTAATAGAGAAGAAAAAAAGAGTGAAAAAATTCATCAGTTTCTGTTCAAAACACAAGTTGAGGCAGACTATCTACTTGCAATTACCTGATTTGTGTATACGCTCAGAACCAGCAAGATCTACAACGATTAATTTGCCTTTTCGAAGCATAGGCGGCCCCATATTACCAACCATATTAGATCGATCTTGAGTTTCAACAGAAAAGTCATCCCTGTCCGATACGGACTTCTTCACTTGTACCTATACTATGCCTCTTAAGTTTTACACCGGTAAAAGCCAGAAAAGAAAAATGGAAGACAAACGTGAAAATATTACTGTCTTACCATGAGAAGGGCATGACTTCGGGAAGACTCCGTGTTCAGTTTAGTGTTAGCAGCAATCCTATGAGCTTCCCCCACACGCAAAAGGTCAACAAAACTTTGTTGGTCTCTGATCTCCAAAACAGTTGCTCCCGGCAAAGAAACATCACCGGTTTTTTGGTCCTCCACTATTGAAATATTATCATTCGCTGGATTTAGCAGATCCTGGATCGTTTCCATATAAAGCTACAGAAATCAACAATTTGAAATTAGAACAGCATTTAAATTTGAAGAATTCCTCAACTATATAATCAGATAATCAAAAGAAAATTCATCATGAGATAATTATATCAAGTGGGTTTTATATGTGATATGTCACCTGCAAATATGAAACTAAGATAGAATCTGTGTCTGGAGAGATATTTGCAAGTATATCCTCCATAGAACGAACCATTATACCGCGAGCAGAGGTGTCTTCATCACCGAGTCTTCCTAGAGTATAAGTCTTTCCAGTACCAGTTTGACCATAGGCCATCACTGTCCCATTGTAACCATCTAGAACACTCTGGGAAAGTTGAGGTAATCAAAATCAAAGCTGATGATACTACTGAAAGATTTAAAGAACGTTATAGAACAAATACAAATGATCCTATGTTGAGGATACTAAAGTTAAATGAAATTAGAACTGCTGAAAACCAAGGCACATGACATCATAGCACTAGGCAGAACATTTATAATGGTCGTTGGCACATAATAACCCCTTAAATTGTCATTTGTCAGAATCTCACAATCTTTTAAATCTAATAAACCAATCATATCAGTTACAACTATATATAAGAAATACAACACAGTAAAAAAAATTCTAAGCCTAATTCACCTTTAAGTACCTCCATATTGTCAAATGTCAAGAGTTGAAAAAGAAAATCCTTGCTAGTACTATTGAAACAGCCAAGCTTCAACCATATGAAACATATTTGTTCAAGATACGTAAAAAATATCAACTATGCATGACCCAAAATAGAATTCACAGTAGCAGCAAAAGTGGCTATCAGATGCAATAATAATTTAAATTGAACATAGTCAGGTGCGGTCAGCAGTAAGCTTCAAATCTGCGGGAATCCACATTTTAGGATTAATAACACTGAGCCATTTTACATGGAAAATTAACACATCGTGTCATAACTCTCTACAAACATCGTCAAGAATAAGACAACTTTCAGAAACTTACCTCAACAACAGGTTTGGCTACAACTTCATATACACGCTTTTGTGATGCAAATTCAGTTAGAACCTCATCGAACTCATAGGTATCTGAATCCCAATTGTTTTTTCGCAGTTTCAACCTTTTCAGCTGCAGCAAAAAATGTACTATATCAGCTGGTGAACAATGAAGTAGAATATATACAATAAAAGTAAGATTAGAAATATTCTGAAACCTCTGGCTGTAACTCCACGCAATCAGCAAAATCTGCATCGGCCACCATCTCCACAGAATTCCGAGGCCGCAATCTTACAGCAACCCGGACTCTTCCAGAAACTACCACAAAAGATAATAAATGAATCTGGTATGCAGCCTGCTGTGCTTCACAGACAAATCTAAGTAATACAAACTATTCATAATCGAATATTCATGCCATTTATCAGATGATTTACCAACTGAGTGTAAGCTGTACTAGGAATGCCCTGTGAAAGAATGCCACCGAAAACGGAACTGAAACAGGTGTCGACCAATTGTCCAAGCTCCGTAACAATCTCATTTACTCATTTCCACAATATATCTCAACAATGGCACATCAGATTATGATACGAATTGCTCCAGTAATGTACAAACATAAGCAGAATTCCGGAATACACAAAACCACACACACACACAGGGGATAAGCACGAGCGCCACACAACAATTCCAAAAAACTCAATAAGTTCATTCAACTAAGCATAATTATAAGAAGAAAAACTACAAATCCACTGTAAACTAGCAGATTCACTGAGCAAAATTTACATGCCAACACAAGCTCAAGCTCCAAGTACAAAACGATCAAGCTTCAAAGCATCCTACAATGCATCTAACTAACCAGATCGGCTCAGATAAGAAACGCTCAGAAACAAGTCCACGCAAGTCACACACTCACCGGAATCGGCTCCAGCGCCGAGCGAGGCGGGGCTACTGCGGCGTACGGGCGGCGGATTCTTTGTTTTGAAGGAGGACGAAGGGCGGAGGCTCGGAGCCTTGTGCACGCCATTTCTGTAACTGCCGCCTGCTGTGGCCATTGCCTTCGTCTCTGTTTTTCCCTTCGGAATTGTGTGAAAGGAAAATGTTAATGTAAAAGATTTTAGAACGACTGAGGAGAGATAATTATGAAGTTGATGGGATTGGGGGAGAATTAAATGAAAGCAGAAGGGCATTTAGGTCTTTCGAGGCAGCGTGCTTTAAGTTGAACTTGAAAACCAAGGACAAAGTGGTGATGGAAGTGGGTCCTTGCGGTTTTCGGTGCTTTTTAAGCGACGAAAATTAAACACAATCTTTTCACAATAATAATAATATTAATATTAATATATATATGTATATAGTACACTCAATATTTGTTTTAAAAATCATTTCAACAACGATCACAGCTGATTCTTTTACGGGAAAAAAAAAAAGAAAAGTTGTGTAAGATTTTGTTTTTTGTCCAACTAATCAAAGAGATGGTCCGAAAGGGAAGGACGAAATACCACCGACAAAAAGCGTCAGATGTTTTTTGACTTTTAGGGGGGACCGCCCTCGTGAGTAAGTGAATTGACGAAAATGGACCTCCATTACCTGCACGATATTGAAAAATGTAGGTGCAAGCAGTACTTTCAAAACTGCCTTCAAAGTAGAGCGAGAATCTAGGCATGTACTCTGAGCAAGTCAAGCAATCAGCAAGGAAAGTGGGCCGCTTGAGTCTACAATTATCTGAAGGCCCAAATCTTTTTAGATGCTTCATGTTAGATTGCAAAATTTTCAATACTAGCCAAAAACATATATAAAAAAATAGAAGCTTTTTAATCAATACGTTTACGTATTTTATAAGAATTATATCATTCAGATTTCAGACATTATCAGATTTGCTGTCTCTACAAAAGAATACACACATTAGTTATACAGGCAAAAATGTGAACATAAAAATAAAATTAAAAATTAACTAAACTGACCCTATAAATAAATATAAATAAACAAAACTCAAATACACACCCGCGAAATTTCCACTTTTTCTACCCCATCGAATCTTCTCGAGTATCATCATCTTCATCTTCCTCCTCCATCTTATCTTCAGACATCACCCTCTCACTACCACCCGCCACGTCATCATCGTCCAAACCCACTTCGTGACCACACTTGTCTGCATCATCATCATCACCGCACCAGGCCACATCATCGGCGGGCCCCACGGCACGGCTGAACTGCTCCTTCAAATCTGGCGCAACAATACCAATCATCTCGCTCAACGCCCGGCGCTCGTGTCTCCTCCTCTCGGCATCAGCACGCAACAGCTCGATCGATGCCATGTGTCGACTCTCGGCCACCACCAAGCTACTCGAGTCGTGGCCGAGCCCACCACCACCATACACGTCACCACCTTCATCCCCAACACCGTTTTCACTCTCCGGCGAATGAGAAACGTCGTTTTCTCCATGAAGGTCCGACGTTTTAATAGTTTCCTCTACGTGCATTGTGCTATCGAAATTAATATTCCTGCTGGTGTGTTGACTCTCGGTCTCCAAAACTTTCTCTGTCTCGACTGGGCACCCCTCGGTAATTTGCTCGGTCCCGATCTCATTCCAGTGGGAATTCTTAAACGGGCCCACAAACTCGACTTCCTGCGTGTTGGACCTATTTTCGTCCTGGCTTCGAATGTTGCTGCATTCATGCTTTTCGGTCACGCTTGCCTCGTTGCTTGACAACTCAGCCCGGTTGCAAGCAGCTCGGGTGAGGTCAATATCGGTGGACATTGTTTCGTAATTCTCCTCGTCCTCAAGGGTCCTCTGCATTGATTTGAGCTGCTCCTGCTGTTTTGCAAACAGGGCAGATATCTCCTCTGTCGTGGAGTAGAAAGCCCGAAGCTGAGTTTCACTGCAGTAAGTATCGTTTTATATAACTAGACGTGAATGGAATTTTTTATCGTGAAGCCTTTTCTCAAAAATCAGTAAAAATAAAATGCATATTCTAACCGGAGCATAATTCTCTCCATGGCTGCTTTTAGTCTGCGCCTCTCAAAATCAAGATCCCGCACTGCAGCACTGATCTCGAGCTCAAGAGCAGACACCTTTGACCATGCTTCTTCCCGGGATGCCTGCTACAGCCAGCAAGAGGAACTCGGGTTAGACATGCATAACGGAAGCATGAATATAGCTGAGTAATTGATTCACACAGATGGAAATTCGTACTGCAGTTATTACCTTCTCATGCTCGAGTTCTTTCCTCAGTCTCTTTCTTTCATGTTCTAATTCTTCAACCCTCTGGAATAGTAAATTTATTAGAAACGAAAATAAAAAGTAGAAGAGTGAAAACCGTGGTTAATAAAAATCATCAGCAGAACATGGATCGGATAGTAATTCTGTAATAGTAATAATAGCATATCTTGGCAGGGGTAACCACAGTACTTTTTGAGTAATAGCAAAAGTTTGCTGCTCCTCATGCATTTGACCTTCCAATTGACGCACTCTATTGTCAGAGTTGGCTAAATTTTGTCTTGTATCTTTCTGCGCCATGGATCGGAAAGACATTTTAGTGTCCGGGCAAGATGACGATGTTTGGAAAAATAAATGTTCCATACCAATTTGGATATCAAAGTTTCCACTAATGAACACCTTTCCTTGTCAGCCTCCTGTATAAACAAGTCAGATTTGAGCTACCTAAAATAATAGAAATAATCATAGAGAAAACCCATTATCTTTTCAATTTTTTAACCTGGAGCTTATTTATCATTTCTTGTCGCTCCTTCTCTCGTCTCAAAGCACCATCCGAGACACGCTTTATTTCCTCTGTAGCCTTAGCTTGAGCTCTCTGTATTGCCACTTTCATATAAAGGGAAGCTTTCTCTATCTCTTCTCTCATCTGACCACGCTCTTCATCTAATAGAGCTTTCAGTTTGGATATAGAAGCCTTCTGGCTATAGCGTGCAAAATGTATTTACGTGGAGACAAATATTAACCACCAGCATAACAAAGATCAGTGCATCTTATATTGAGTGATAATTGACTTGCATTTACTATTAATTCTATCCAGCATTGCGATAATGTGATTCTCACCTATTAATTATTTGATTTGCTTCAAGGCATGATTGCATAGATGCACCAAGTCTTTCATTAAGGTCTTCAATCCCATGGTTTTGCTCGGCTAATGTTTTATTTAGCTCTGCTAGTTCCTTGTCTTTAGCCTCCAAAGACTGGTTCAACTGACTGAGCTGATTTTGATAAGATTTTGCAACTGATTCTTTCAACTCCCTCAATTCCTGCACACGCAAGCATCATCTTTAATCGTTGGTGCTGAACACCCATTAACAATATATCCAAAGAAAAGAGATTGTGGCCGATTGAAACAAAATGACGAAAAAAATTATGCACGGTAAGAATTAATATTTGATAAATCGTCAAAAAAGAGGACCTCACAATTGCTTAAGAAGCCGATAAATAAATTTCATTTAACTAGTCTTGGAAAAATTAGGTCAAATTCCAGGAACCAAAAACATCTTCATAAATAAAATCAAGCGCACATGAATAGAACACCATAATAACCAAGAAAACAAGCGAATGCTTATAAATTTAATAAAGTATATTGGATAGAGTAGAGCTTTTTCATCCACTGTGGATGTTGTTTGACAACATAACAGAAGTTATCTGCCAGCAGCAATGATGATACTAAGAGAGAGCAGTTGAGCCAAAGGACAAAATGATGAGAATATAATCATCTTGTCTTAATCAGAAGTTATAGTCAAACATCTAAGGTCTGGGAATAATAAGAATGATGCAGTTTAACATACAATTTCATGCTTCTCAGTGACTGCATGATTTTCAGCACGCAATGATTCAACTGTAACAACTTGATCTTCCAGATGTTTCCTGAGTTCCTACATATAAATTCATTACTTTCTCAAAAAGAGTGGGAAAATAAAAACTGGGTTAATACAACAGCAATTGAAATGGCTTAAAAGACCATTTAGATACCGTATTTGATCTTTGAAGACTCCGAAAATCATCAAGAGAAATTGGACCATCAGAAGCTCCTATACCAATTCCTTTCAATCTCTTGCTCTCAGCACCATGTTCATCTGTACAAAGAAAGAGATGAATAATATAAATAAAATAGTTACACTAAGCAAGAATGGAAAGAGCATCAGCTAAATAGTAGGGCCAGGTACAACTGGTTGTTATGTAAATATTACCAGTTACACAAACAATTTAAAATATATATATATATATACATATAAATATACACACACATCAAGTATCAAGATCAAATATCAATTATCTGAGCCAGAAGATGTCAGGCTATACACTAAAACTCAACAAAGACTTGTAGAAGAAGATCATCTTTTAACAGTCAGCAGTACTGACTTCGATCAAACATGAACGTCAATGGTCCTACAAATATATATAACATAATTAAAATATAATAAAAACTTAACACTTAAACAAGTAACCCTGGTCCACATCTCTCTTTTCTAAACAATCATCATATAACATAGAGACAAACTAGGTGATACTGACACTTTTCCATGTACAATATTCCATGTGAATTTTAGGGCTCTGTCCTAATCCTCTAAACAATTTTTGTAGGGGAATAAAAAAATGAGCCTTTCCATCTCACTTAGTAACTGAAATAATTACCTGATTTTTTCTTCAGAGAAGTACCATCAGTTACATAGGAGGATTTTTGGACTTCATGAAATACAAATGCAAATGCAAGTTCTGCAAACGTGGAAAAGAAAAATGAATATCACAAACACTAGTTCGATGAGCGTGCTTTCATGTGATGTAAATGGCCCCAAAAATTTCTTAACACAATAAGCAAGATGATTCTGATCAGCAAATGTTTGCAGCGCCACCTCTAACAAAAGAAGAACTTGAACTGCAGCATAAACAACACACCTCTACATCTCGGTATAATTGAAACGTTATCTTTTTACTTTTATTCTGTGGCTCAAATTGCATAAAGTTTTTACGAATTGTAAGAAGGAAATTGGCATTAGCCAATCCCGAGAAAGAGAAAGAGAAAGGTAGATATTTCTGAGGTGACAAAACTTGAATAAAAGGAATTGTTGAAAACATGGCAGTTTAGCATGAAAGTCAGCAGACTTTAATAGCTTTCTGTAGAAAATTTTTGGCACCAGAACTCTACCATGTTGAGGAACAAAAGCTATTGAGATTATGTCTCCATGGCATAGCTTCGCTTCAGAGCTGCTCTTAGTTAATTTCTCCCAGTTTAAGTATGTCCCATTTGTACTGTGTAAAGACTTAGAAGCATTAGACCAGTTGAAACCAAAACCCATTTGTGGAGCCTTTACATATTAATACTTTTACCTACAATCCTTCAAGAAAACAGAGAAACAGTTGTCTGATCCTTGCTTTATATCTCCACTGCCAATCCTCCGATAAATCTTGCAATGCAGAGCACTAACTGCAGGAGCAATGATCTGAAAACGAGCGTCATCCACCAACCGACCAATGCAGTGTTTATCAGAAGTCAGAAGCATATTCATTCCCTGGCAGACAAATGAATCCTTAGCAACATAGGAAAAAATGCTCCTAAAAACATGAAAAGGGAAGCAGACTATTGCATACCAAACAATCCCATAGCATAAAATACTGCAAATGAACGACGTAGCCATAGAATTAACAATGAGAACGGTGGCTAGTAATCTGACACCGTTTTATCTCAAAGTCAAGAGCAGCATAAAGAATTTCACTAAAACAAACCATCAACTTCAACAAACACGCTCAGATTCGTGAAGGGTAAACCTGGTGGCGCTTGCGGGCCTTCTCAGAAATGGCAGTGAGCACGCCCCAGACATCGGGATCGGAAAATTGAAACGGCTGCGCGGCGATTTTCGCGGCGACGGACCTTATGAACTCTATTGAAGACTTCACATTTGACGGCACCGGTGAACTGATGTTGCTAGCATTGTGGGCTTCTTCAGAAAGCTTTGACTGGGAGAGAGGGGCGGGCTTTTGGGCCGGTTTCGGGCTGGAAACGGGCTTCAAGGCCTGGGGAGGAATCGGATTCTCGTCGTCTTTCGCCATTCGCCGGTGTGAAAACAATTCAATTATGGCGCGGATTTTGAAAACCCTAGCTCTTTTATACAGGCGATTTTGGATTTTTGGGCGACTAGCGTACTGAGGAAGAGTTATGCATTTCAATTTGTCTTTTACTTTTCTTTTTGCCTTCATTAATTTCGCGTGCAGATGAGTTTATTTTTAATTTTTTTTTTTTTGGAGTATAGTTTGTAAAGATAAAAAAGTGAGATAGGATGAATGTGAAACTTTTTTATTTTATATTCATTTTTTTCAAAACAATAGATTGAATAACTCGACAAATAAAATATAACGTTTGTATATTTCGGAGACCAATTGGTCCAAATCATCCTCTAGCTAGTCCTAAACTTTAGCTTCAAAAAGGGGTTCAACTACTGCACAAGAAGGCCTAGATGAACCCCCAAGCAAAATACAGCCCAGAAGCACCAAAATACAATACAAACTGCTAAAAATAACTCCAAAGAAGAATCAGAAAAAACTATTTACTAATAAGTAAAAACCACTAGATTAGCAAAACCAGAAATGAGGACAGAGCTTATCTCCTTACACAGCTGCAAACTCTCTCCATTCTTTCCCTGCAAGTTCAGCAACCACTCTGTCCCTCATCCATTCCTTTTTAAAGACCCATAAGTTCCTTGCTTTCCACAACCACCAAAGGATGTCTGTGGAAAGTTGTATTCTAGCTTCAAAAACTGCCAATTTGTTGATGCTACAAACTTTGGACCACCATTCTTGGAAACAATCAGTGTATGAGTGCAGTCCATCCCAAGATACCTGAGCAAGTCTCCATATTCTTTTAGCTCTGCTACACTCAAAAAATAAATGCCCAGCAGTCTCAAGCATTTCTCCACAACTTTGACAGATACAATCAATGTCCATCCCTTTCTTGATAAGGTTACAGCTAACAGGCAGAGTGTTGGTGAGGCATCTCCACAAGAAGTGCTTTAATTTTCCTTTCACCTTTAGATCCCAGCTTCTTTTCCTTGTTGCCATTTGAACTTTCTGACCTCTGCTGTTTTCTGCATAATCCAAGATTTTCCATCTTTGTGCTACCAGTTTGTGATATGTAGAGAATACTGAAAATGCTCCATTGGTACCACTATCCCACACTAATTTGTCAAGTGATGAGGGATCCAATCCTTTGATGTCAAGAATTGCCTGAGCTTCATTGTCATTGAAGGATTCCTGAACAAGCTGAGTGTTCCAGTGTCTGTCTGTGTGGTCAATCAAATCTTTCACCCAAATGAGATGAGCTAGTGTGTCAGTCTAAGGTGATGAGAGTTTAAAGCCTGGCAGGGTTGGAATCTATGGAAAGCCCCATATCTTCACTGAGTTCCCATCCCTGATTTTATATCTTGCCCCTTCCTGCATTGAGTCTCTAACTTCAATCCAACTATTCCACATCCATGATCCATTTTTCTTCTTTGCCACAGTGAATAAGCTCTCATTTGAATAGTATTTGGCTCTGAGAACTTTACTGACCAACAGGTTTGGTCTTGTCATAAGTCTTCACAGTTGCTTAGAGATGAGTGCCCTGTTGAACAAAAGAATGTCCTTAAAACCAAGACCACCTTTATATTTTGGAAGAGTGAGGTAAGTCCATGATTTCCAGTGAATTCCTTTGTTCTGGGCAGCATTTGTTTTCCACTAGAATTTGGCAAAGCTTTGAGATATACTCTGGCACAAAGTTGTGGGTAGCAGGAAACATGACATGGCATACAAGGGCAGGGCTAAAAGGACTGATTTGAGCAAGATCTCTTTACCTGCAAGAGAGAGATATCTATTCTTCCAAGAAGAGACTTTGTTAGCAACTCTCTCCTGAATAAATTGAAATGTCTGAATTTTGGAATGCCCAATCCCCAAGGGCAGTCCTAAATATCTCACTGAATTATGACAAGTAATGCCCAACAAGATTTCACAGATTTGGCTTTTGATGTGAGTAGGGGTGTTTTTGCTAAAAAGATTGTGGATTTTTGCAGGTTTATTTGCTGACCAGAGCTTTTCTGTATTGGTCTAGAATGTGCAGAATCAGGTATACTTGCTTTTCATTTGTTTGCCCAAAAAGTAAGGTGTCATCAGCAAAAAACAAGTGGGTTAAAGTAGGATCATTCCTACAGAGGTTAAGCCTTTGAAAGTACCCAAATGACACTCAAATTTAATAAGGTTAGAGAGAATCTCAGATATTAAGATAAATATATAAGGGGACAGTGGGTCCCCTTGTCCGATTCCTCTGGATGGCTTGATATACTCATGAGGAGTGCCATTTAGGTTAAATGAGAAAGTAGGTGAAGAAATGCAGGCAATGATCCATTTAACAAAAGATGGATGAAAACCCAAATTAATCATGGTATGGTGAACACATGGTCACTCCACCCTGTCAAATGCCTTGCTCATATCAAGTTTCAATGCCATATAATAGGTATTTCCTTGTCTGTGAGTGTTGAGAAAGTGCATCACTTCTTGAGCAATAATAATATTGTCCAAAATTTGCCTATCTCTAACAAAACCAGCTTGAATTTCTGAAATGCATGAAGGCAGACAAGGCTGAAGTCTAGTGGCTAGAATTTTAGATATGATTTTGTAAGTAGTGCCACATAGACTTATAGGTCTAAAATGAGAGATTTTTTCTGGGTTGTGAATTTTAGGAATGAGAGTGATGAGTGTGTAATTTAGACTTTTGAGAATTTGCCCAGATTCAAAAAAAGTCAAGACAGCAAAACACAAATCAGTCTGAATAATATCCCAAAATTTTTGGAACAATAAGGAAGTCATACCATCAATGCCCGGAGCCTTGTTTGGATTAATGGAGAAAAGGGCTTGCTTGATTTCTTCCACCCCCAGTGTTGCTATCAACTCTTTGTTTTGATCTTGTGAAATTTTTGGTGGTAGTTGCAGGATGAAATTAACCCTTGTTGCATCAAGCTTTGTTGTGAATAAGTCTTTGTAAAAGCCTTCAATGCACTCAGCAATATCCTTGGGGTGAACACACACAGTGTTATCATTTCTGATGAGTCTAGTGATGGCATTTCTTTTCCTCCTCCGAATTGTGCTGGCATGAAAGAACTTTGTTCTGGACTTTTGCTGCCAAAACTTCTCTTCTTCTTTGTGGACTCCATCCAACTGCTTTTAAGAGAGTCCCACAAATTCCAATCCTTGAGACCTCCCTTATCTCTTTCAGCTGCTAGTTGATCATTCAATAGAGAAATCTTCTTGGCATTTTCATAATTGCCATGCAAATTTCATAACACCACATTCATGACAAACTAATCAGTCTAAACTTTAGATTGATTATATTCGTTCCAATTGCATAAATCTTGATTGATCAGACAAATATGAGGATGAAAAGTTTGTTACTCATCCCAACCTTTGACTTCCCTAGTTATCCACAATTAGGGATGTAAACGAGCCGAACCGAGCTTGATTTAGGCTATAACAACTTATAATCGAGCTCGAGCTCAGCTAGTTCATCAATATTAATGAGGCAAGCTCAAGGCTAACAAGCCAAAATCAAGCCGAACTAAAGCAAAATACATAAAAAATAAAAAAAAAAACATTTTCGAGCAACGAGCCTTATCAAGCTGAACTCGTTAACTGAACGAGCTTTAAATGAGCTCGAGCTCGGCTCGTTTTAATTGAACAACTTTATCCACAAAATACCATACAACGGCTGCAATTGCCATGCAAATTTCATAACACCACATTCATGACAAACTAATCAGTCTAAAGTTTAAACTGAAATTATAAGAAGTGATTTGAGGTTATCTTAATCATCCGCCATCAACAGCCGCTAATCAGCCTGGGTTTATGTTTGCAACTAAAGCTGCATTTAACCGGCAAGTGGGTTAGCATGTATCGTCACACGGTTAACCCTGATCTCCATCAGAGGCCGATCCCCAGGTCCCGTTTGAGCCTGCAAAATGGAAACACAAACGGTTGGTAATTTGGAAGTTAACTATCAGAATAGTACAAACATATCAGTCATCAACGATTCAAGAACTCAGCCAAGTACATATTATAAGCGAAAGATAGAAAGGGACTAACTAAGGGCTTGGGCTATTACCTTTTCCATTATGTCAAGAATTTCAAAACCATGAATCACTTTGCCGAAAATGGTATAAAGTCCATTAAGATGTGGTTGCTTGGCATAAGTAATGAAAAATTGGCTTCCATTGGTATTAGGCCCGCTGTTAGCCATGGATAATATACCTCTAGCATTGTGCTGCATGCCATCAGAAGCAAAAATATAAAACAAATAATAATAAGAAAAATATAAAACACAACTATGTATACCTTTAATTGCTTCTAAAAAGAGAAAATTCAAAAGAAAACAAGACCAGCCTTCGTAACAGACAAGTGGTTGATGGTTTTCAGTTCTCTATTCAAGACAACAAATAAGAATATGTGATATTTTTTTGGTATTTGATGTACCATCTGAATACACCTCTTGATTCGCAGAGAGCCCGTATATGACATTACACATAAACAAGCTTTTCAGTATCCTCTAAATCCACAGACTTAATTAAAAGTCTTTGTTTGAGAAGGAGAATAAATTATAACAACACGGTCAAAGGACCCAGAGACCAACATAAAATTGCAAGAAAACAGTTAGGCAGCTATAAAATGAACAGAGAGCTGAATATTACAATTGGCAAGCCCTCGGCAGAGTTACCTTAAGAGACTCTCTTATTTCATCATTGAACTTTTTACCCCATATGCTTGTCCCGCCCTTGCCAGTGTTAGTTGGGTCACCACCTTGAATCATGAAACCTTTAATATTTCGATGAAATATGGTTCCATCGTAATAGCCACTCGCACATAGTGCCAGGAAGTTCTGTAACACAATTTTAGCCCATCAAGGAGAATAACGTGTTACACAAAAAGAGAAAGCTAGTCACTACCGAAAAGATTGTACAGTGAGGTGTGAAATATTATAAGTAGAAAAAATAAAAACCAGTATGCGTGGGTCTGATATACATACACTACCAAAGTCGCAATGGAAACACTTCTGCCCAAAAACTACTTCACCCAGCTGGGTAAACAACAGCTGGAAACATTAATAAATTCTTACACTAATTAAATTTGTTATATCGGACTTAAACAAACAAATTAACATGGATAAGGAAATCCATTTTCTTCTATGTGAGGCTCTTGCCTGAATACCACCCTTGACTAAAGGGGACTGGAGAACTACAAAGAACACAAGATATAAGTTGCACCTAATATACCAAAGACAAGGTTCTTCAGCTCCCATGTAAAGAGGATTTAGGTATGACAATGGCTTTTAAGCTATTTGGAGTATCGACAAGATAGCTTATCCGCTTATGTGCTAAGCATGACCCTATTCCTTCTGTTCTACACTAGTCGGAAGCTTTCTAGTCGTTTGGCAATGAAAAGAGATAAAGCAACCAAATGAATCAGTTCTTAATGTTAAACACACAAGTAAATTGACAACAAAAACTCTTAACCCATCAACCACAATCCTGGAAATACTACACTGGCAGGCACTTCTACACTCCATAAGCTCTGAAATCTTAAAGCACACAAAATTAAGTTCTCAGGCCATAGCAATCAACATGTACCTTTTCCTAGCCTCTAGCACTTAGCTCTATATATAATACATACGCTTATGGGCAAACATCAACAAGGAGAAAAAAAAAAAGAAAAAAAAAGAAAAAAAAAAACATACAGATGCCAAACCTCAGCAGTCTTAGGGACCTCGTCACAGAAGATTTCGCACTTGATGTCGCCCAAATTTGTGTGAAGCGTCACCGACTGAAAAAACCCATTATGTTTTTTTGCTTTAACAACACAAAAAATTGAAGTTTGGGACACCCTGATAACATGCCTGAAAGTGTTCGATTGAAATCCGCAACGAAGAAAAAGGAAAAAGAAATAAAAGACGTAATAAACCTTTCCCAGCACTCACCATTATCCGTCCTGAAAGTTGGAGCAAGCTCGTATCGTATGGCGATTGAATTTCCAAACTCCGAAAATATTTTTGGTATGATGTGTTAATTCTTTTTCTCAATTCATTTCGACACTCTTTTATAACTAATGGGAAATTTTTAAGCTTACCACACGAAATTAAAGTAATTTCGGATTTATCATTCACTAACAAATAATTACTAGTACAACACTCATGTATTACACAGGTGTATTACACAGGTGCTTGTTAAAAAATTATTCTTAAATTTTAAAATTAATGAGAAAATTTATTTTAAATTTTATTTACCTTTTTACAAAAAATATATATTATTATATATTTTAGAATTACACTTGTTACTTTTGCGACTTACATGTGTTATATTATAGTAATTTTTATAACTTATATTATATAACTACTTGAAATATAAATATATTAATAGATAAATAATTTTATTTATCTAATTAATATTAAAAAAAATTTATTATTGTTATAAAGATAAATATAATTTATTTTTTTACACATACAATATGGATGTTAAATCGAAAATCATCAAGAGATGATTAATTTGATATATTATATATGTAAAACTGATAAAAAATGTAAAAGTTATTAACCTTCAAAATACATTTACAATTAAATGGTTATAATAAGAAATTATATTAAAATGCAATAAATACATGTAACATGATTATAAATAATCAACATATTTATAGATAATCCGGACCTAATTATTTATGGATTAGAAAATAAATTAAAATCTACCCAAGCCTAATAACGAAGCATATAATTTTGCAACATAGGATCCCGAAGCATGCGGTCTGCCACTTAGGCTGAACACGTTCTGAATTAATATATAAGGGGGATGTATATACTTAGTAGACAAACAATAATTATATTATTGCCTAAAAATCAGTTACCCATCGTAACATTCTCCATTCCATATCTTCTCAGCATGATTTTCGGGATGTTACCAGGAAAAAAAAAATCGGAATTTTCACTTTGGAATTATTTCCTCCGATTCCTCTCTCCTCAACTCCGTTGCGTGTAGGGCTGCACACGAGTCGAGCGGTTCACGAGCTGCTCGCGAGCGCTCGAGTCAAAGCTCGGCTCGAGCTCGAGTTTGACCGAATCGAGTCGAGCTCGAGCGGCTCGAGCACGAACTCGAGTCGAGCTCGAGCCCAAATTTTACATTGTCGAGCGGCTCGCGAGCGGCTCGAGATATATGGTAAATTACTAAAATACCCCTTCTATATATATAATTTGACAAAATTATTTGAAAATTTTCGAACCGAACTCGAGCCGAGTCGAGCATTTTGAATTTGAGTCGAGCTCGAGCTCGAGCTATTGTATTTTCTTATCGAGTCGAGCTCGAGCTCGAGCAGCTAAAAATAAAATTTCTATCCTGCTCGATAAGGCCAATGCTCGACTCGGCTCGGCTCGTTTGCAGCCTAGTTGCGTGCCTCCACGACCTCCGCAAAGACGGCGAGGAATCAGTGGATGAATTGGTGGCTAGGGTTTACTGCCCTCGACTGAAATTCGCCGTCCGATTGACAATGGATGTGATGACGGGGTCGTCGTTAGCGGCAGTGGTTTGAGCCGGCCGTGTTGAAGTGGCGACTGGGGAGAAGAAAGCGAGGAAATCGATCGGGTCGAGCATCGCCTGTGTGAGGAGCAAAAATTGGACGAAAAGTAAAAAATCGCAGGGAAGCTTCATCACCCGCGATAGCCTCATTTTTTTTATCCTGCGACTATACATATATATTTAACATATACTGTAGATATACCACAACACAACATAAACGATAGAGACGCAATCGATCTTTTTCTTAAGAAAAGTAACGCAAATATACCACAAAAAAAAATGACAGGTCGATTAAAATCAAGGTATATTATTTCCATATCAATTTATTTCTTTATGCTTTTTTTAATTGATCTTAACGTTCAATGAATATACATGAATTTATTATTATTTTTTACGCAAAATATACCAAACATTACTCAAAATATACAGAACATATACTGATCATTACTCAAAAATATACCAAACGTTACTAAAAATATACAGAACATATTTTTACTCAAAATATACCAAACATTACTCAAAATATACCAGCAGAAATTGAGGACATATACTGAACATATATCGAACATATACTGAAAATAGCTTCAGGCGTCAAAATTAATCCACATTACTCAAGCCTCAAATTTTTTATCCATCTTCACCTGCGCGGAAAAACGATCCCAATTAAATGCACATCACTCAATTCCTAATTGAACTCCCGCATACAAAAAATCAAAATTAACATGAACCCGTCGGAAAGAAGAAAAAGGAAAAAGGCGGCTGCTCTTTCGAGTTCCCCTCACACATACGGGCTGCTCGAAAAGAAAACCAGCGAGAGGCTGACAAGGGCCAAAAGTGCCGCTGCTCCTGTTCGGACGGTCGCTCAAGGTGCTGGCCCGACAAATGGTTGGGGTCCATTGAAAAGGAACCGACCGCTGCTAGCTGAAAAGGGTCGATTGCTGCTCGTCTGAAATTTCGGCGGGGAGTGTTGTTTCGGGGACCACCGACGAAAGATGACTGGGCTGCCGCTGCTGTTCGGCCATTGAACGAAAGATGGGGTCTCGATGATGGTTTTTCCGGCTTCCGGCAATCGGATCGAGTAGAGAGAGGGACTTTTGTCTTCGCCATTGAAGTAGTAAAGGGAAACCGATGAGATGAGGTTTTTTTCGGTGAATGTGGGGCAGTGGGTGCTTTTTTGTTGGAGAGATATTATCTTCACCGTAAAATCAGCAATTTTCATTTAATTATCTCAATTAATTTAAACGGTCACTCTTAGGTATATCTGCAATATTTTAGGTTGATTTTAGTACAATTATAAATATTGATATAATAGGTGTATAATTATAATATATTTAGAATCTTGAAGTAAGGGGTGCAAATTCCTCTAACTATCTCTACTGAACCCGATAAATTATGTTCGAGTCCAAATTGTACAGACGATGTATGGACTTTTGCTAGCCTCAAGCCCATTCCAACTCAGTCCAAGAGTAAAATGCAAATTGCCAACTACATGGTGATCCAAATTGCTCCGTGGCACATCTTAGGGTAACATTATAGGATGAAATTTAGACTGTAGAATGAAATTGGAATTTATGTATATGGAATATTTATTGTATCATGCCATGAAGATAATTTTATGTATGCATAATAATTTGCTCATAAAGGTGTATATACTATAACATAGATATAATCCACTTGAATAATTTATATATATGGGACTCACATTATGTGAATGTATGTACTCCTTGATATTTAAATTATTATGTACGTACAACATTGCTCGTCCCTTTGCTCTTCTATTGACACTCATAATTGTCGGTGAAGAAGATAAATTTTGTAAGAGATATTGTGCTATCATGTAGTGTTATTGTTTTTCTATCGTGCGTTATTTGGTCATGAATAATTATATAAGACAAATTTAAATTCAACAAATATTTGATTATTTTATGTTTTTGTCGTGTCAACCAAGTGGAAAAATTAACTTGCAATGCCGTATTAATTCCCTTTTTGTCTTTGACGCAGTCAATAATTGTGATTAGTTTGACAAGCTTGTCCAACGAGGCAGTCACTATCATGTTTTTATTAACGTGTGTGACTTAAATTGTGAGGCTTGGGTCTCTTTATTTGTACTAAAAAAATTGCTCCATCAAAACTTTATGTTGTCCATGGGTTTGGTTTGAACGTGCCAAAGTACACAGCTGTCTAAATAAAACATTTCACTTAGGGTGCGTTTGGTTACCCTTATTGGAGGTGATATCCCTTAGTTTGTTAGCACATGTGGACGTTTAACTTATTTGGTTAGAATGGAAAAAGCCTGTGAAATGGCCCAAGCCTGGTATTCATTCCCACAGTTTTTTTACTCTGTATCCCACCTTTTTTATGGAATACAATATCACCACATTTATCTACTTGGGTTAATGACTAATTTAACCTTCTTTAAATACCAAAAACCTGTTGCATCGGTATAGATATTAGATGTAAAAATTACACACATTCGACTCGAAATTGTAAAAATCTCGCAGATTTGGGCGATAGCTGCCTCTCATTTTTTGCCCGTCGTTAATGATTGTGGCGTCGAACAAAAGGGATGACGGCGAACAGCGAGGGACGACTGGAGGAATCTAAACCACAACAAAAAATGGCTCACTTTATGCCTATTCTTTTCGGGGTATCTATCTCTTTTTAGTTTGTGATTATAGTTTTCGTCGGTAGATCTTATTAGATGTAATTACCTCTTTCACATGCCACTCCATTCTTCAATTTTGTATATCGACATGTTTCTGTTTTTCTTTTCTTTTCTTTTTTTTTCCCCCCCTGAAACTCACATCTTCTTCTTCAAAAGGATTTTCTAATTAAGAGATTACCTGCTAAAAATAAGGCTCATCATATTTCAAACAGTGATCTCAAATCTAAATTGGATTGAGATCTTCATTTGGTTGCCTGCTAAAAATGATTCACTCACTTGATTTGTTCGGCACAGTAGATGGGGTGTGAGAATTTTGGGAAGGTGAAGAAAGGTTAAAAATGGAAAAATGTAATGAATTGGACCCTTTGCGTCATGTTAAAACTTGTTCGTGGTGTTATAAAATTCAATATTTTTGTGCCACTTTTGCAAACCAAACGGACTAATGGAATGCATTGGAGTAGGTGGATATGGTGGGAAATCAGGTTGTGATAGTATCAAGGTCATTAACAATATCCAACCAAACCCACCCTTAGTGTAAGTTTGGTTCAAGTAAGGGAAAGGGAGGGGAGAGATTTTAATGGAAGGGAGGTGAAGGGAGGGGAGGTGACGTAAAATAATTTTACCTTGTTTGGAGGGATTTGGTAGGAGGTGAGTGGAGGAAAAATAGTAAATTTTGTTTGGTTAGAAAAATGGAAGAGAAAGAAAATATTGTAAAAATGACAGTTATACCCTTAATAAGAAACAAAAAAATAAAATAATTCCATAATAAGTCAATTGAGTAATTATGTTGTTAAAAATTTCCCTCCCCTCCAAATTCCCCCACTTTTGGAGGGGAGAAGTTTTTCCTTAGATGAGGAATTTGAATGGAAAATCTCAATCACTTCCCCTACAAAAAATTGAATCAAACAAGAGAAAATTAAAAAATTCCCTCATCTCACTTTCCCTCCCTCGTATTCCCCCGAACCAAACATGCGTTATATTTCCTATAGAAAAGACAAAATCTCTATTCTTATTTACTTTGTTAGATGAATATTTTTTTTTTTTTATTTTTTTGGTACAAAGAAGAAGGCAAAGCCCAAGAAGGTCGAAACTACAAGATTACGCTACGAGGATAAGCAATCCCCGCTAAATCACGTTCCAACCAAACTTTAACCCCATTCGGCGGATGATACAATTTAAAGTAACTAGATGAACCCAACGCCGCTTGTGACGCTATATGATCGGCCGCATAATTGACTTCCCTATAGGTATGGTGGATCACGACTTTCCAATTGCGCCTCAAGAGTTCTCTAATACCCAAAAGCAAGCCCCGATGAATCCCTGATGGCTCTTCACTATTCAACGCCATTTGAACAATACTAGAGTTATCAACCTCGACTAAGATTTTACGACCTTGAAGCTCCCAAGCGAGTTGTAACCCATCGTATAAACCCCAAAGTTCTGCACCGATTATTGAACAAAAGCCAATGTTGTGCATGAACCCACCAACCCATCTCCCATGTGAGTCGCGAACAAGGCCTCCTGCTGCGGCTAGCCCTGACAGTCTATCAAAGGTTCCATCGGAGTTGACCTTCCACCAGCCCGGCTCTGGAGGTCGCCATTTTATGAGCTGCCACTCCCGCGCAAGACCTGTTCCTCCTAGTCGCCTATTAGACGAAATAGCAACTTCAATACCCTTAGGACACGTTTGTTACCCAAGACCGGACAGGATTGAGGTCATAATCTGGCCTTAAATGGGCGTTGTTTTCCCAGTTTACGGCCCGGACGACTAGACAAGGCCCGCGTTGCACAGTTGTTTAATCGCGGTTTCCGGGGACTAATTAATCTTGGCTAAGGGGTGAGATTGAATGCCATCTGCACAGTACCTCAAGTGAAAATATCTAGAATGTCCTTAAAAGTAATATTTCATGAAAGAAACATCCCCAGTCAACGCCTAATTTACATTACGTGCCACCTACTAACAACGCCACAATATACTTGACGACAATAATTGAAAATACTTTGGCAGATCTAGAAACGAGTCGAACAACCCATTCTCCACCAAAGAAAAAAGGTAGTTCACGACGGGGATGAGGTTATCTTAGTTGTTTGCTCATTTTATTTTCTTCTCGCCTATGCCCGGTTGTTGACTCTAATTTGTGCACTGTTGTTTTTTTAATTTTTTTTAATTTATTTTTCAGCTGCAGTGTCTAAAAGGCTCGATTTATTCCGTGCAATACTTGTTTTTCTGGCACAACGGTAATGGGTTTGGATTTGTGGTTGATTGGAATGAATTGTGTATTACTGTTTTTTATTTCTTAACCAAAGTGTACAATATGAAAGAGTGAAAGTGGGGTTAACAATAATGTGCTGTGGTTTTGCATATTCACTTCTTCATGTTCAATATTTGGATTTTTTGTGGGTTTTTTTTTCTTGACTAAAGCTGACCATATTTGCCTATTTTGTTGACGGTATCTACGTGTACGTGATAGGTGGAAGAAAGTGTTAATTTTGATGGGCCGTATTGCAATAACTATAAAAGTTGCATCCCAACGAAATGGTGCTGTTAAAAACTTTAATAAAAGAAAGGGTGCTAAAAAACATATTAAACCAAAGATTACATATTGCAGTGTGGGGTAAAAATATTGTAAAAGTCCTACAAATAAAATAGAACCATTTTAGCAAAGAGCATTAAAGAAAACGGGAAAAATAAAAATTAGTAAATAAAAAAGCAAAAAAGAAAAATGATAATTACACAGTGTACACATTATTGAAATGATGCAAAATAAATTGAGGGCCAAATATGTAAATTTGCTACTAATCAGGTTTACCATCTAGGACAACAAACACACAATACAGGATATAAGAATAGTCTCGTCTTGGTTGAATCACACGTAACAAATATGCGATCCTATTTATCTCTACACCCCAATCTTGTGGCCAAAGATTAAAATTATGTAATCCCCTCTTGTCTAACAAACATGCTCTTAACGATCTGCCTGATCTCCTTCACCCTCACATCCACACTGTAAACTTTCCCTTGAATAGACTAATTATTACATCAGATTTTTAATATGATAAGACTAATTATTAACGTTCAATTCAATGGTGAGTATAAATATTGCTACTTTGCATAAAAAACGAACCCGCCCACAAAGTTCACACCCCAACTCTGACCACCAAAAAATATGTCCGGCGAAAACCTCACCGTCCACAGCCGCATCGCCGTCGCGCCTTCCACCGGCGACGCCGCGCCTTCCACCGGCGACGCCACGGAGCACCGCCTCCCCCTCACCTTCTTCGACATACTGTGGCTATACTTCCACCCAATCCAGCGCCTTCTTCTCTACCCTTACCCATGCTCCACCGACACATTCCTGCAAAAAATCTCCCCAAATCTAAAAAATTCACTCTCTAAAACTCTCGATCGCTACCTCCCCCTCGCCGGAAACCTAATCGTTCCCCGAAATTCCAACCTGCCGGAGCTCCTCTACTCTCCGGGAGACTCTGTCCAGGTAACCTTTGCCGAATCGAACGGGGATCTCGATTTCAGTTCCCTGACCGGAAATCATCCTCGGAACTCTGATCAATTTCACTCCCTGGTGCCGGATTTACCCGACCCCAAACACGAACTAGGGTTCGACTTCGACAAAATCCCTGTCTTAGCTGTTCAAATTACTCTGTTCCCACAAACAGGGATTTCTATCGGCATCACAAACCATCACGCGTCAGGCGACGCAAGCTCAATCGTCCGGTTTATCAAAACCTGGAGCTCGTACGCCAATCTCGCCGCCGGCCACGAAATCGAAAATGAAAATCTGTTACCTCGTCCGATTTACGACAGGTCCCTGATTAAGGACCCGTTGGGCCTAACCGAAATATTCTGGGCCCAAATGCGGGCCGATAAAATCGGGCTCTCGGCCTCGAAAGCCCTGCCAAATAAACTCCGTGCGACGTACATTCTGCAAAATCAAATCGAGACGCTCAAAAATTTGCTGCGGCCCAAAACCCGGCCCAAGCCCACATCTCGTCATTCACCGTGATCACGGCCTACGTGTGGGCCTGCCTGGCAAAGTCCATTGGGCCCATCGAAAACGACGTGCCCGAGTACTTTGTGTTTGCCGTCGATGCCCGTGGCCGAGTGGACCCGCCTTTGCCGGAGGGGTATTTTGGGAACTGTGTGGCGGCCGTGCAGGTGGAGATTAAGCACGGTGATTTAAGGTCGGAAAATGGGTTTTTCGAGGCGGCGAAAGTGATTGGGGAGGCTATAGCGAATAAGGTGAACAATAAGGAGGAGTTGTTTAGAGGTGCGGACGAGTGGCTACCGAGTTACGGGCTGTTGCTCGGGAAAAGACTCTTTGGAGTGGTGGGCTCGCCTAGGTTTGATTTGTACGATGGGGCGGATTTTGGGCTCGGAAAGCCCGAGAAGTACGAGGCGGTGTCGATTGATTGGGGTGGGTCGATGTCGCTTTGTAAATGGAGGGAGTTTGAGGGAGGTTTGGAGATTGGTTTGTCTTTGAGAAAGGAGGAAATGGATTCTTTTGGGCCTATTTTCTATGATGGGTTGAAAATATAGTGTTTTTTTTGTTTATGATTTACTTGTGTAATGGAGTGTGAGATTTGTTATTGATGGTGAAGTTGCATTTTCAGTTAGGTTTGCAGTTGATCAGTCCAACGTTAACATTATCGAGCAAGGTTTGATTTTCAGCCGTTCTTGAGCTCGAAAGTGCCATGCATCTTCATGTGCCATGTTAAATGATACAGAACTTTGATTTTTGCAATAAATTTATATATTTTCAGTTTTTCACATGTAAATCTCCTACCATGGAAAATAATGTGAACAAAACAGACAGTTATGGAGTGTTTTGTAAGCACTATATATAAGTTAACTTGTTTTCACAGTTAGGTTTTTTTTTTATTTTTTATTTTTTTTATAATTATTATTATTATTAAAAGGCTCAAGTTCATCACATAAACATTATTGGATAATTTTTTAAATAAGTCATCTAAAATTTTTATTTCAACTTGTTTATCAACTAGCTTTTCAGCCATAAGTTACCAGCTGTAAGTTTGAAATTCACTTATAAACTATCAACTAATTTATCAACTTATCAGTTAGGTTTATTAAACATAAGCTAAAATATAAATATATATAGTTAGAAATATACAAATATATATCAAAACTAAATTGCAAATATCAATTAATAGTTTTTCTTAAGGTTGTAGTGTTGTATGTAGCATGTAAAAACATCATCGAATCACAAATTAGAATTATTATTGAGTTCATTATTATCATTGTCATCTCACGTATAATTGGATTCATTTTTAAAGTTGTTTCAAATTTGAATATTATTACTTATTTGGCTACCACGAATATTTCAGCAAATACTCATCGTTTGCTATTTGCCAACTGGATATGTCTGTATCTGTATGAGACAACAATATGGGGCATCCATAGCTTTTTCATTGGGACTCTTGAGAAAAATAACAAAAACTGTGTCGACAAAAATCTTGGTATCAGCATGAGGCTAATAATTCCTCGTACATAATGATTTTTCATTTTCGAAAACAAAAAAATGCAAATCACATGCAGAATATATAAAGAACGAGAACCGGAACATAAAACTCGAGAATCGAAGCACAAAGATGATAACTAGAAGTCTAGAACCGGTTAATTCATATGAAATGAATACATGTATATTGTGCATATTGTCGGTCATTCCGTTAATATACGTATACAAAAGGAATATGAACTGGAACCGGCAATGATTATATGCACCAAAAATAACTGAATAGACAAATAATGTATTACTGGTAACTCTACGTGTATTTAAATAAATTAATATTTGTACAATAAAAATAAAAATAGTTTACATTTTTATTGTGAAATTATGTACAATACCCGTGTAGTATACGAGTACTTAAATATTTAATATTTGTACAATAATAATCAAAATAATTTACATTTTATTGTGAAATTATGTATGATGAATATGCAACAACAATACATAACTAACGAAGTGATAATTAATGCAGATGGTGCTCGTATTTTTACACTAAATTTGTCAAAAGAGATATTTTTAATTATATTTTTAAAATTATATATGTATAAAACTGATATTATTTACAACTTCATATATTTGATTCAATTTTTCTAAAACAAAATAAAATTTATTGTATTGTGATTATATTTTATATTTGTAGAGTCAGTGTCTCACGTTTATTAATTTTTCAAGTATTTTAAATTCATATAATTAATAATTTAGAATTTATGTAGAAATATGATATTTTCTAACTTTATGAAAGACAAAATTATTTTATTTTATTTAATTAATATATTATTTTATATTTACCATTTTAAATAATAATATTCATTTTCTTATACAATCTATTTAATTTAAGAAATAATATTTTATAATATTTATTTAAATTTATTTTATAATACTTAATTTTTAGTTTTTATCCAAAATTTATGGAAAAAAATAAAATAATTATTTTATGGTGTATTAATGAATTAGATTTTTATTATTTTTATAAAATAAATGTTATTTTAATATGATATTTTTTAAATTGAGTTGATAATAAAATCCCCCTATATATAATTTCAGAATGTGCTGAGCCTAAGTGGCAGCTTCACATGCTTCGTAATCTTACATGGCAAAATATTATGTCTTGTAATATGGCTTAGATAAAAGTTACTAATTTCTTATACCGAATAACTTAGGTTTGGATTACCATATATACGCACATATTTGATATATTTAAATCAATCATTTCATATAAATCTATTTATTATCTTCTCTCTATAATGTGCATATAATCTTACTTTCCAAATTTTGTGCTTTGTTCATATTATTCCCTAATGTATTTTAGATAAAAATATTATAAATAAAATTAATGATGTATATAAATTATTTTAAATAATATTATTAATTCACTTAGTTATTTATTATAATTTGTTATATATTGTTCTTTATTTATTTTTTTAACTTCAACAAAATATATAATAATTTTTATTTATTGTTGTACATTAAATTATTCTATCAACTACCCGTGTAGTACACGGGCATTGTACTAGTTAATATTATTTATAAATATAGATGAAATTATTTCTTATTTTATATATGCAATATGGATGTCAAATTGAATATCGTTAAAATAAATTATTTTGATAAAAATAAAATAAAAATAAAAAAGTTATAAAGTTTTTAAGAAAAAAAGAATACATATTTATAATAATTAATGTATGAATTAAATAAAAAATGTAAGAGTAGTATATGGTAACTTGAGAAAAACATAAAAATAAAATAATTTATGGTAAATCTCGAGCATAATAGTCAAAACCAAATATGAACATGTGTCAATATAAAATACCAATTTATGCCAATACGAAATACCAATTTATACCAAATAAGTGTAGAAAGCACACGAACCTGTCATTTAAGCTCGGCGCATTCGAGATATATATATATATATATAGAGGCGATTTTCAAGTAATCTGATCAAAGTGGTTATTTTTTGTTCGATTTAACGTATATTGTGCATGTCGGTCATTAGGCTTAAGACCGAATCAACTTTGTGCATTGCGCATGCATAATACGTATCAAAATCTTAAGCTGCTAAGATATTGGGCCTGACTATAAACGAATGAAAATATCAGTGTAGATCCATTAATTTTTGGTAACCTGGTCCCAATAAATATAGGCCCAAAATATATAAATCTGCATTAGAACTCACGGTTAGTCGGCCCATTTATTCATCAGATATACTTTCCTCATATATAGTATTGTATCACCAATTATCCCTGGAGTAAGAAAAAAGGAAATTACTTTTAACCATTGTTTTAAATATTTGTATTGCAATTTCCACCAGCCGTTTATAGAGATCGTTCAATTAAAGTAAGAATAAACATGATTAATTACCTATTCAAAATTCGTTCCTTGTTAAATGTTTCTAGTTAAAGAAGTTGTAAGCTACATAATCAATCTCGGAGATTTATTAAAACTACTCATATCTCAACAATGATATTTATGTATTTGAGATTGCAATTCACAAAAAAATAATTATGTCTTAACTTGTGCGAATTAACAAGAAATACGAGAAAAATTATTGGGGATTTCTCCTTTTTCGATATAAGCATTTTCGAAGGATAATACCCGAGGCGCAACTTAGATTTGAAGTGAAACGCTACATCAAAAAAAATGTCAAATTTTTCTCTTAATATAGATATAGAAATATAGAACTGAAGCCGAATCTAAGAGCATCTTCAATGCATTGGGTCTAGTCTTGCCTATGTGGCAAATAAATAGACCCAAGTCTTAGATGACGTGGATAAAATTATGTAAAACTAATAAAATTCATTCCAATGCAAAGAGACTAGGTCTCTACTTGGGTCTAAAATGGACTTAAGGGGAGATCGGGTCTCTTTTTCTGACTGCCACATCAGCAGGACCTAGTCTACTTTTATTTGCATTGGAGAATATATTTTTTTGGACTGGGTCTATTTCTTATGTGGCATGTAATTTGTTGGGATTGAACCCAAAGCATTGTAGATGCTCTAACAATATTGTAAATTTGAAGCCGCAAGTTTGACTAAATTATGGAACACCCAGAATATATGATGTCCGAGATTTTGAAGCCATAGCAAATTACAAACTGCAATGTCTTATTCAACTAACAAATCGTGACATCACTAATTACGCACTTTATTGTGACGTTTTAATGTAAAATAATTAACTCAACCTAATCATATATACAAAGATTGAAATCTCCCCCAACCGCCTTTTAATAATTAATATCCACAACTTTATTGTCCCAATAAACCAACATAATTAAGAGAGTTGCAATGTTGCATGCCAATTTTTCCCCTATAAATGACCATCACACAATGTGTCGGTTGGTAACAAACACCTCTCAGATATTACGTGGTGGGGAGAACATATATATGCATCCCATCTCTATCGTTTTTATGAAATTCCACTAGTAAATATGTTGCATATTTCTATCGTTTTTATCAAGTATATCAAATTTTAGCAATTAGTTTTAATCCAATGGGGAATTGTTTAAAATTATATTGAGAGAAAAAAAGTTAAATAGATGGAAATTAAGAGTTTCGTCAAAATAAATCGTGAACTCTGGTTGTTAAGATTTAAACTTAAACTCGACTCGTTTCGAATTTCAATGAAACTCGTTTATTAACGAGTAGACCTGTAAACGAGCCGAGCCGAGTCGAGCTCAAGCTTAAGGTGCTCGTGTTCTACGAGCCAGTAATCGAGATCGAGCTCGGCTCGTTAAGGCCTCGAGGTCGAGTTTTAATGAGGCAATCTCGAGCTTAACGAGTCGAACTATAAAAAATTATATAAAAAGTATCTTTTCAAACTTTATCCAGTCGAGCCGAGCTCGGCTCGTTAATTAACCAAAAGAACTTTAAATGAGCTCAAGTTCAACTCGTTAACGCCTAGTGTTGTTAAATTAAATGAACCTGCTCGTTAAGGCCTCGAGTTCGAGCCGAACTCGAGCCTTAACGAGCAAGCTCGAACTCGAGGCCTTAACGAGCAAGCTCATTTAATTTAACAACACTATTAACGAGCCAAATTCATAAAGTCTCGAACTCGAACTACAAACTCATGTATCAGAAGTTTGAGCTTCAATTAATAGACTCAAGATCGAGCTCAAGTATTTATGATCTTGAATATAATTCGAATCGTTCTACTCATTATTCAAAAAATATATGCAATTACTTGACTCGACTTTTATAGAGTAAAGCATTTAAATGACTTAATACGAGTATAAACACGCAGTCTATGATTCTTATTGTAAAATGTCACGGTCAAAACACAGTCAAAATCTTTAACTACATTTTCGTTTTGCATCTCGACCCTTTATTGGCATGCCCTTGGTTTTTCCCGTAATTAGATTTGTGGACCCGACAATACTTCTCTCTCCACGTGCCCCATCACATACCGCCATCATTGTGGAGTAACTTATACAGTGTACACACACTCCACAGTACTCATAAAAATACTACTATTAATTAATACAACAAAATAACAATTAAATATTAAATACACAACAGTAATTATAATTAAAGTGTTCTTAAATTAACAAACAAAGCCAAAGTCCACCCAATAAAGAAGCACCATAATTCACAAAAAATACAGAAAATAAATCGCTCGAATTCCTTTTCTGTCCCTCTGCTTGCTTAAAAAAAGCACAGCTTTAATTAAATCTCACACAAAAATAAAAGGAAATTTAAAGTAAATTAGAAAAAAGTAAAACAAAAGGCAAACCTGGTGGAAATGACGATTTAGGACATGAAAACGCCGGCGAACACCAAACCCGATAATGCCAGCACCATCTCCACAACCGCCGGAGCTTCCCGAACGCCGCCGGAGTTACCCGACGTGCTGTTCTCCGAGTCCGCGGCCGGTCCCTCCGACGGCGCCCCGCCGGGAGAGCTCGTCGGCGGAGCTGGAGGGGAAAGCATAGGTGCCGGAGCCGCAGCCGACTCCGGCGTCGGAGCGTCGGCTTCGGGAGCAGGCGAAGGGGACATCTCCGGCGCAAGTCCCGGCGCCGGGGACGGCGCACCCCCAAAGAGCTCAACCGGCAGGAGCAAGCTGTCGACGGTGAAGATGCAGAGCGGGGTGGAGTCGAGCACGGTGGAAGCGATTCTCGACGAGTCCACCCCAGTGTCGAGGCTCACCGAGTCGCCGGCCGTCGTCACGCCGAGGTCGTACTTCCCGGCGCCGTTGGTGGCCAGGGTAGAGATTTTGCCCCTCGTCTGTTTAAGGGTCCCGACGGGGGTGTAGCTGGCGAGGGCGTGGTACTGTAGGAGCGAGACCACCTCGGCGTTGGTGAGTCGACTCAGATCCGGCGCGCCGGCGGCCTTGAACGCCTCGTCGTTGGGCGCGAACACGGTCAGACCGTCGCCGGCGGCCGACTGGTACACCTTCAGGACGCCGGTCGACACGAGGAGCCCGGCGAACGTCTTGCACCCGGCCTTCTCCAGCAGCGCCGTCAGGTTGACGTCGGACGCCGCCGGCGCCGGCGCCGACAGCACGGCGGCCGGCGCGATGGCCTTGCTGACCTCGATGACTGAGACGTTGTACGGGATCTGGCGGACGGACTTAGTGAATGTGGAATCGATGGGCGACCCGGCGGCGCCGGACCCGAACCCGACCCGGCCGCCTCGGAGGTTAGTGATGTTGACGAAGCCGAGGCCGGGCGGGGCGTTGCCGGAGGTCTGGTAGAGGGTGGTGGAGAGGACTGAGCCGTCGGAGATCTTGTGGAGCTTGGCGGCGTCGAAGTAGTCGAGTAGGACGTGGAGGGCGAGGACGTTCTTGACGACGGCGAGGGGGCGGCCGCCGGATACGACGGAGGAGAGAGCGGCGTTGGAGAGGACGCAGACGGTGACCGGCGAGCGGCTGTTGATCTCGTCGGCGAGCTTGGTGCGGGAGAGGAGGTCGTTGAACAGGCTGTACTCAGGGTAGGCGGAGAGGATCTCGGTGATGTTGGTGGCGGAGGCAGCGGCGGCGAGGAAGGCGGCGACGGCGAGGAGAGAGAGTGTGAGGGAGGAGGCGGCCATTGTTTGGGACAGATTTTTGCTTCCAATTAGTAATTGTGCAGTGTAGGCAAAGAGCTGTAGGGTTTTATAATATGTTTTTGTTTTATGATTTTCGTAAGAAACTGGTTGACTCTCAAAATGATTTAACTTAAACTAATATGCAGATGACAAAAAACTTTGGAATCAATACATTATTTGTTGCAGTCTCATAACAACATGATTTTCAAGTAGGTATGAGCCAAATTGAATCTTTAATATGGAGCTTTGCAACCAGTTTAAGACTAATTACGTGTAGCCTTTAATTTATAAGAATTGAAACTTCATAACTTTTAATACTAAAAATTAGAGATGATTGGTCGGAAAAAGTGTGTAATTTATATATTTATTAGCTTATTTTTATATGTTTAATTTTTATCGCGCTTATATGTTTTTCAACTTATTTATTTATTAGATGAATATGAGTGCTATGATATTTTTGTGCATTATTTTCAGACTATTGGGCTACTTTTATGGACGACGGAATATTAAATGGAAGTTCCGACAAACAGAATATGGGGGAGTCCCGACTACCCCGTACTGACCCAACAATACCCCATACTCGCCCCAATACCAACACTTTTGGGCCCAAGATTTATGATTGGTTGATAAGGGCCTAATTATTAAAGTCTATTAAAAGGCTAGAAATTACTAAGCCCACATATCGAATGCATGAGTTAATTAAGCCCAACTTTGGGGAATTAACTTAATTGGAAACATTGAGAGCATGCTTGGATATAAAATTTTTTGGTTTTAATTGAATTTTTTGGTTTGGGTTGGTTAAATTTGAAAAAGTTGGTATGGTTAGTTGTTAGTGGGTAAATTAAATATTTAAAATAAAATAATTAAAATTAATTTGATGTAAAAGTAAGAAAGAGAAGATGTGATGTGATGGTTAGTTAAAATTATGTGAGTTGATGAATAGTGAATTAAGGTTGATGTTGTATGTAAGAATGATTGATTGATATTATTTAATTATATTGATAAAATTAATGATAGTGTGGTTGAGTTAAAGTTGAGTTAAAAAAATGGTTGAGTTAAGGATGATTGGATTTTTTGGATTGATTTTATATCCAAGCATGATCTGAAAGGGCAGGACTCAATTTAAAGACTATTTATTTGGCTGGGGGATTTTATTTTGCGGAACATTCACGCCAAGAGAGGAGAATTCACGCAGAAATAGTAGAAGCCGCCACGCACCAGAAAAAGAAAAGAGAAGAGAGACGCGAGACTGACGAGGAATCCGGAAATTGCGAAGGGAGGCCGCACCCGCACACGAGGGAGATAATTAATCTCTCTCTTTTATTTATTATCTATTTTTATTTAGTATGTTAGAGTAGATTTTTATTTCTAGTTCCGGAGAAGTCGAACCCTACGATTGACTATGTTTTGATTGATTATAAGGTTGATGATTTTAATATCTTTTTGGAATTGCTTGTGTTATTTTGAATAATTCACCATGATGTTAGTCTTATTTAGATTGATCACCTAGATTAGGCTTTTCATATCTACATCTGAGTTAGACCTGCAATCCGTAATTGTTGTTGTGTTTAATTCATAAGAGGTAACCGGGAGATGGTAACTACCGGGGATAACACGGCATAATTAAGTGAACGAACGCGGTTGAGTTCACTAATTAGTCTAGCCTATTTTTCTAATTCGTAAAGCGGCTAATTGTATTAAATCTTGAAAACGTTTTTCTGGACTGTACAAGAAGTCAGGTTTAATCGTAGAGCGTCTCGCGGTTGAATTAAAATTAATGAAAAATTCGGGTAATAGACCGTGTCGTTGAATAGGGCTAGTAATTCCATAAGATAGCGGGATTTGATACCAAAATTGATTAGACGAGTCAGTCGAAGGTGTAGATGGAACCGTGAACAAGAAAATTCTCTTCATTTATTTATTTTTATTTTCTTATTTATATTTCATTCTTAGATAGATTAAATTTATAATCAAACCCCCCCATTTATCGCTTTTTATAATTTCAATTAATACGAGAAAATTCACAATTTGATTCACACTCCTCGTGGGATCGATCCTTGCTCGCCACTACTACTAATTAGTAGAGGTTAGTTGAGGAAAAATATAAATTCTAATTTTGCTACATTGCGACGCGCGGTCAAGAGGTGAGATTAAATTACTTTCACATAACAAAAAGGTTTAGATTTAACATGCAATTTTATTTATTTTTTTACATTCGATAAATTGTTATGCATTCATCATAATACGTGAATCCACAACCTGACTGTACTTAGAGCTGTCAATTTGGGCCCGCGGCCCGCGGGCCGGCCCGCCCCGCCCCGCCAAAGGGGCGGTTTGGGCCGGGATTTTCTAGGCCCGCTGGGGAGCGGGCCTAAACAGGCCAGCCCGCATTNTTCCTTTTATAAGCCAATCACAACATTTATAATTAATACTTTCATTACCATTTTCTACTACTACTATTAGAGCATCCAAATGCATCGGGTCTAATTTTACATATATATGTGGCATATAAATGGACTTAAATTTAAAATGACATAGACAAACTCAAGTAAAAAATATCCAAAAGCTATCAAGTGCAAAAATAAAATATTAGGTCTAGAATATTTGTCAATCAATAAAAATTCTTTTTATATTAAAAAATAAATAAATTAGGAATAAATGTTGACCGTTCAAATTTGTACTTAGGCCCAAAATAGACTCAAAATGTTGACTTAGTTTCATTTTTTGATTACCACATATAGTAGACATGTCTAATTTTAATTGCATTAAAAAATAATTTTTTTTTATAAATTAAGTCTATTTTCTATATGGGATATGATATTTTTTTAAGTGACCCTTTAAACATTGTGGGTGCACTAAGAAAGTGGAAATTTTGTATATAAATGGTAACCCACCCAAGGAGGTTGGGTTGAAATTTAGGTTATTTTATATGCGTACTATATATTTTATCTATATATTTTATCTTTTTTTATAAAAATATGACATTTAAAATAATATCATATAATATACAAAAATAAACCATTTATAAATATAAATGGTAATACATTTGTAATTAAAATAAGAAATTCCTACATAAATGAGATTGAGATAGATCTAATTTTCTATGGAACTTATCCACATTTTGAGGTGGGCTGAGAGTGGTTGGTATTCAGTATTCACTATGGGTCACAGCTGGAAACCACGTCATATTTTCCCCTTGCTTGGCCTTCAACATTTTTTTTTTTTATTTACTTTTCTTTTTATTTCCTTTCCCCTCTTTCTTTCCCTATTTTTTTAGTGAAAATTTTAAAAATTACAATAAAATTCTTACTCTTGTTAAGACTCGATTGATGAACGAGTCGAGCTCACAACGGGTTTTTTAGGCCTGGACTATTTAATCCGAAGTTCGCAAGGACAAGTCTGAAACCGCTAGATTAACCCGTTTAACATCTCTGTGTCTACCAGATAAATAAATGGATTTGCCCAAATGAAGTTGGCACGATACAGAGATCTAGAAGAACCAAGCCTGATGAGGCTGTGTCCAAATTCACTTACATGGGCCGTAGTAGTTTTCAGCCCAATCGTTCAAACTTGTGATAAGCCCAACATTTTATAATATCAGTCCTATTTGTAATTGTTTACACAATTGGAGGCCCATGCTAGCCCACAATCGACGTAAATAGCAAATTGGCGACTGAAATTAGACATGGCCAAAGGGTTGTCCGGCCCGCCGACCCGGCACTGACCCGGCCCGGTCAAACCCGTTGACCACGGGTCCGGAACCGGCCCGGATTTCAGACGGGCCGTGTAAGGGTCATACATTTCATGACCCGGCCCGGAGGGTTAGGGCCGGGCCGGGTCAATGACCCTTCTTTTCTATTTTTTTTTATTTTTTTATACTTTTTTTTTAAAAACACGGACCCGGTCCGGACCCGGCACGGCCCGGACACGACCCGGCCCGGACACGAACCCGGCACGAGTATAGGTCCGTGCCGGTTCAGGATCAGTGTTTTTTAGCCCGGCGGGCAGGGCCGGGTCGTGACCCGACCTGGATTTTGGTCATGTCTAACTGAAATAAGGTAAAAGAAGCCAACAACAATTATGGTCTCAAATTGGCAAAACAATTGAGAAGGTAAAATACCATACACAACATAATTTAAATAATGAGTGTATTAAAAGGAAGAGTTAACTATTAATTTGTAACTTAAAATTAGAATTTATCAATTAGAGGCAGGAAAGATGGTTAACTATCAATTCATCATTTTGATGGTCATGTTATCGCATTATAAGAAGAGCATAATATGTGTTAATTTTGAATGTGCTAAATTGGTACTGTCAAATTTTGATAATTGGGGCATCATTGGTGCGGTCCCACACGGTGAAACGCACTATAAGAGGGTGAGCCTAGTTGTACCGTAGTGAAGTTTCATCCCAAACTCATTTACCCTATCAAATCGATGTGAGACGACTCACACGTGATATTCCAACACGACTCCCTCAATTGTGAGTGATATTCCAACACGACTCCCTCAATTGTGAGTCATTCATCAGCCCAAACCGACAATCAGGCCGAGTAATTATCATAAGCCCAAGCCCAAACCTACAATCAGGCCGAGTAATCATCATAAGCCCAAGCCTACAACCAGGCCGGGTATAATTTTTAAATCATCATTCATCAGCTGAAACCTACAATCAAGCCGGGTAATCATCATAAGCCCAAGCCTACAACCAGGCCGGGTACAATTTTTAAATCATCACAGGTCCCAATTGGGCCTGCTCTGATACCATGTCAAATTTTGATAATTGGGGCATCAATAGTTTAAATCATCATTCATTAGCCCAAACCTACAATTAGGCCGGGTAATCATCATAAGCCCAAGCCTACAACCAGGTCGGGTACAATCTTTAAATCATCACAGGTCCCAATTGGGCCTCCTCTGATACCATGTCAAATTTTGATAATTGGGGCATCAATGGTGCGGTCCCACAAGTGAAGCGCACCATAAGAGGGTGAGTCTAGTTGCACTATAGTGCGGTTTCATCCCAAAACTAATTGGTGATGTGAGGAGTAGCCCACGAGGCTTATAAACTAGATTCATTTACCCTATTAAATCGATGTGGGACGACTCACAAGTGATATTCCAACATGTACCAATTCATCTTCTTGATTGTTTGTGTAATCACTTTATAAGAACATACAACATATGTTGATTTTTAAAGCATCAAATTGGTAATTTCATATTTTTCGGGGCTTGAGTTGTTATGTTTTATCTTTCAAGTCTTGATTGATAGCTGTCTCCATCTTTTGAGCTTCATATTAATCAAACTAAAATTTTAAATGGTTTGTTTAAGATCTTCAATGTGTAAACCGATATAATTAAAATTTTAGGACTATGAGTTGATGATTAATTCATTGGTTATGATCTAAATTGGTAAGATTTCTTTAAATAAAAAGTCAAATGTTGTTATTAAGCCATTAGTTTTAACTTTTTAACGACTTAATGTTGGTTTAAGATCAAATAACTTCATAAACACCCTTGATTTGATACATTTGACTGAAGTTTCTAAACTATCTCTGTTTTTATTCATGATCATCTGGCCTTCTTCCATAAAGCTGACATAACAATTACTACTTCTCTCTATCTCACACACATTCAATATGCAGCAGCAGGTGTTTTTTTGGCTGCATGCGTGTGTGCTTTTCTCTCTCTATCGTCTCTCTTTGTATCCATATTCTTGAATTTTTAAGCGGTTTGGCATTTTCCTCACATTCTTTGTCTTTATTCAATTCACACACGCATCAACCCATCCCTCTTATCCAGTACTTTATAATTGCATGTATATGAAATTGTGAATGTGGTATGATATAACCTGTGTATAATATAAATATTAATTATATAATTATATATACACACATATGTAATATGCCTGCTTGTTTTGTGTGTGCATCGTGCAGAGCTTGCTTTTTTACATCAGTTCTCAGAAAATTGCAGAGCAAAATCATTACTATTTGGACTGACTCTTGCTTTTCTCTGTTTTTTAATTTTAATTTTTTTATTATTTCTTGGGATGCCCTTGAGATGCAAATTAATTGTCAATTTTGTCCCATCCCACTCACCAGTACTGTTGCACCACCCATAAATGCAGAGTTTTTATTTTTTATTTTTTAATAGAATTTAACTTTTTGCTTGGCCCTGAATTTGTGAAGGCAATGGAGATGAAAATGGAAATGGGTTTTTAGCAGCGGCCAAAAAGGAGGATTTTTCGCAACGGGTTAATCTTGATCTTGGAATTGGGAGGTACGCGTGCGATGAAGAAGAAGAAGGGCTGAAGGGGAATGAGAAAATCAACAAACAGGGAAAAAAAGATTCGATTTTTACTGCTGCCCAGTTTTGTGATTTCTATAATCAGTGCTTGTGTATAACAACATAGCCTGTGGTCTGCCCTCTCCACCTTTTTCTTCCTGTTTGGATAAGTGTGTTTAACTCATTGGGTCCTTCTCTGTACAAATTTTGTCCCAGCTGTGAGTCTCTCTCTCTCTCTCTCTGGTTTGTGTTTGTGTAACTTTTGATTGTGAATTTCTTGATTTTCTTTTCTTCTGTTTGTATTGAGTTTTGTTTTGTATACTTACATTTAGTTTGTGTACTTCAGGATCAAATGTTTGTTCCCCTTTCTTAATTTTGACGAGATTTTACTTACTGTAATTGTATGGGAACCTTGGGTGTATCGGTACTTTATAACTTTCAGTTTATTCACTTCATCTGTTTATCAGTCATGATTCATGTAAGCTGGTTATGGACTTACGGTTGTTGGTAGAGTAGTTAGATGAAGTCTTGCTGCTCATAATAATTAGTTGCAAACTTACATTGGAATTTTGATATGCTTGAATCTGCCTCATTGAAGAGTTATCTGACTATAGTAATATACATACCCAAGGTTAGTCGTATGTAGAAATCCATTTTCATTCAAATTGATTGATCGATTAAAAGGGCTTTCAACTGACATTTCCAAGTTTTCGTAGTCTAATGATCTTCGTTTTCATGTTGTTATGTTAGTCATAGATTTCAGTACAAAGATGGATTTGGAGCCAGATAGGTGTAGAAGAACCGACGGGAGAAAATGGAGGTGCTCGAAAAATGTCGTTCAAAACCAGAAATACTGTGAAGGACACATGCATAGAGGAAGCAAATGTTCAAGAAAGCATGTGGAATTTGATAGAAGTCAACCGAGTAAAAAACGCAACGGTTTCGTGCCGAAGAGTGTTCTCGGTGAAGGTTTGTTTTTAACTTATATAGAATTTTTTTTTTTTTTTTTTTTTTTCTAAAATAGATACACTCCTCTCTGTATTCTTGCTATTCATACATGTTTGAAGTATTTTAGGATTAGAAAATACGGTGTTCTTGGAGCTGATTTATATATATATATCTTCCTTGATTCGTCAAATATAAGTAATGGACCTTTTCTTCAGTGAGAGATACTGCAATAGTAAGGTTAAACAATCAACTAGAAATTAAGTTCCATGTAAAGTTATGTAGGTTTGTATGGAGCTCTAGTAAGGCGTTACTCACAATTCACAAGTGAATTGTGGAAACTTTCGCTCATGGTTGCAATTTATCTATCATTTTGATTTACAGAATTCAATGTAAGCAGCTATTTGAAATTACAAAGATGGAAAGACGGTCGATACTTGTCAAATAGTAGGTGGAGCTGCCCTTGAGGTTATCCTATTTACACAAAAACCTAGCCAATCTTTCATATTTACAAAGTGCACCATAACTCCTTTATCTCATGAAGTGATCCTCACGAGGGAGACTAAACCTTTAGGGTGGTTTTGTTAATTATCCATCTAATTGTATCTCAGTTGTTTTGTCGCCATATTGGTCATCCTCAATTGTATATTCTTCTGCTATTATCAAAAAACAAAGTACTGATTTTTATTTTTTCAATGTAGACAAAGTTAGCCCCGGCCAAAAGAGTGTCACCGAAAGAACGGATCTGAATCAGGACTACTGTGAGATGCAAAAGGTCGTGGGGGCAAAAAGGGTAATCTCAGGTCCACAACAGCACACGAGTAATAAACTCCAAGCCACCTTAGCTCGTGCAACGGCAAAGAGTGTTGACAAGAGCATTAACCTGAACAATTATACGGGCAGCAGCAGTGATGTTGATACCATCTCAGATGAAAAGATTAACTTTTGTGTTTCGGATTATATTTCTGACTGATGAGTTTGAAGTAAAGAAGTTATTTAGTTTTGGCGAGGATACTTGAGTGTGGGTTTGGTGGTGGCAAGAACTTGTTAGTCGATTCAATATATCTTTAGTAGTGTTTTACTGTTGGGTGAATTTTAGTAACATTAGTTGTATTGTGCTTTGTACCTGAGCCTGTGTTCTGATACTTGCATTGGTTGTAGCTTGGATTAGTAATTGGTCAATTCTAAAGAGAATTTGCTTGTGAGATATGATTTTTATCTATAAAAATTAAATATAATGGTCAATCTTCTGTTACTGTATTTACATTTTTTATATGTGGATTTTGCTTGTCTGTAATTATGACATAAACGAGCAGACATTTTTCCTGACAGAAAATATAGCAAGTGTATATAATTCGGAACCCAAAATCTCTCGAACACATAAATACCAAATTATTTACGAGAATATAATAAGAGCACAAGAGGAGATAACAAGGGGCAACGTTTAGAATGTTATCTCTTTACATAAATGCACACAGATGGTAAATCAGGTGAGAGTAGAAAGAACAATAGTCAGTTTTACAAAGTTTTCAAGATTTAGTAGGAAAGAGAAAAAAACTGGAAAAAAAAAAAAATGAAGAAGAAGAAGGGGGGATTATATTATTTCGGACATGTGCCAATGGGGTTGGCATTCTTAATTATCCAAGGATGTTCCAAGATCTTCTCGATCGAGAGCCTTTTGGAAGAATCCTTCACAAGAAGCTGCATAAAAAGGAAACCCAATAAAAGACGAGAAATAATTCCACAACGATTACTGTTCTTCAAGAATGTGAAACAATGAAAGTAAAAACAGATTATCGAATTTACGATACCTGGCTAATGAGATCTTTAGCTTCAGCAGAAATGCTAGGAGTAAAAGGAAAGCTTAAGTCAACCTTCATAATCCTACATGGATCAAAGTTCACTCGTAATTAGATTCTGATTGAATAAAACATGATGGGTGAAAATATCCGGCTGAGAAACAGTGCCCACATTTTTCACCTTTTAAATGTGTCGTTCTGGCTCTCGGCCTCGAATGGGGGGACACCGTATAGAAACTCATAGCAGAGAACACCCAAAGTCCAATTATCCACTGCATAGTCATGGGCCTTGTTCTCCACCATTTCTGGTGCTAAATAGTCCAAGGTCCCACACATAGTGTGTCTTTTGCTTCTGGATTGTACCGACCAACCAAAATCCGCAATTTTAAGCCGACCCTATAAGGTTTTACGTCATTTCAAACACGTTTCGAGTTCGTATAGGCATTGTTATAGCTTTTAATGACTCCATATTTTCAATCACAATGTAGTACAGAGGGGTCATGAATCACAGCAATAAAGCAACTCTCTCTCTCTCTCTCTCTGAAGCATTTAACTGAGGTCTTATGGAGTCAAAACAACAAAGGAAATTCAGGATGAAATAAATTAGCTCAGCATATCCAACATTCTTCATAAGCGCAACTTTTTATCCACTAAATCGTACAAGCAGTTGAGACATATGAAATAACTGGAGTTAGACTTTGACCAATGAGCATTGATTACCTCATGATCAAGCAACAAATTTTCCGGCTTGATGTCTCTGTGAATCACATGCTTCTCATGACAATATGCCAGAGCTTGCGAGAGACTTGAGATGTACTGATTGTCCATAGAAATAAATAAAACATCAAGAGCTAAAGAAATAAATAAATAAATGAGATCGTATAATTATTTAAAATGGTTACTTCGAAGAGCAAACACATGAATGCAGAGCAATATACGACTTCAAACATATCCACGAGCACACATAAGGAAAATTCAACATAATACAAGGAAAAAGAATTATCTCAACCCGCAACAAGGAAACAAAAACGAACGACGGTCTTACAGTCGCAGCTTGTTTTTCCGAGAGGTTCCCCGATTTACGGAGCTCTCTGTAGAGCTCACCGCCATGAGCATACTCCAAGATCAGGAAAATACGCTCGGCATCATGAAACCAGCCATACAGCCTCAGGACATTCGGGTGGCGAAGGCTCGTCTGAATCTCCATCTCCCTCCGCAGCTGGTGGTGCAATCTGTACTTCTCTATCTGCTCCTTGAATATCACCTTCAACGCCACTATATACTGGCTCTACCAACCACAATTTCAGAACGGAAAAAAAAAGGGAAAAGAAATTCAGCATGATACCACGTCGATTGTTACGCCCTAGAATTGAAATTGGGTAACCTTTGATTACCTTAACTTCGCGGGCGAGGTAAACACGGCCGAACTTCCCTTTTCCGAGGGGTTTGCCCACGTCGAAATCGACGATCGACCATTGTTTTTTCGGGGTTTTGAGAGGTTGCTTGGGCGGTTTGGGGGGCTGCGCGGTCATTGGAGCAAATGGAATGTGGGCTTTGGAGGAGATTGTACAGTGGAATTTGGGGATTTGGGTTTTGGTGTGATTGAATTGAGAGGGATGGGAGGGAAATTGAAGATATTTGAAATTGTGAACGGTGGACCGTGGACCGGGTCGGGTACCCGGACTTGGAAAGAGAATGGGCGTAGGCCAGAGATTATGGTTATGTTGGAAAATCGAAGATGTCAATAATTATTACTATTATTATTATTATTATTATTTTTATTATGTATTCTTGTGCTTATTCAATTATAAATTTATACTTTTCTGACATGCATACATACTTTAAATTTCAAATTGAATTTCATACTAAAAAAACAATATATACAAAAAAATATAATATTTCATACTTCATAGTATAAATATAC